CAAAGTAATTTTGCTGTTTTGAAATATTTACAAAATTTTCCATCAGATATAGCTTTATACACTAAGGCGAGAAACCGACACATAACGCAAAATAATGAATCAATATATCTTTATAAAAAGTAAGTCGAGTTCAAAGAACAAATTGCGAAATACGACTTTAAAATATTCCGTTTCAAACCTCATAAAAGTTTTTTTCAAGGAAAGTGTTAATGTTTCATGATCATTCGTGAGGAAGATGACCTGGCTACCGGTTTGGAGGCTTCTTTTGTGTTTCACCGATATTTATTATTATAAAAATACAGTTTGACAATAAATGTTTATTTGTACCAACGGATTGACATGAACATTTCCAAATATTTTTTAATTAAGATGTTACTCTATTCCATCTATCGTGTAACAATTCCTGACAGGTGAAAGTCAATAAACCGTTAAAATTTCCAGATAACTTTCTTGTCTTGAAAAACAAAATAATAACAAAAACATTATGTTTATATTTTACCTTATGTCGCTATGGTTTGTCCAATGTCCCGTTCCTTTCAATATGACAAAAAAACTATTATGATATTTCCTTTTTAATCTAAAAATAGTTTGATCGGATATTGGCCTAATGTTGTAATGGTTTGACACGCTATTCAACTAGAATTGATTTTCCAAGAAATATACACAATACAACCGATTCGATCAATTTTAAAGCAAGAGTCATTGTTGCATTTAGCTATGGAATATCTTATAGCTAACTGAACTATATATATATATATATCTTTTACCATATTCCGTAGAAAATACGCAAAGTGTATTGAAATGCATTCGGGTTCTGTTTCCCAAACACGCCTAAATATCCAGGACGAGTTCTTCTTGAACACATGGAATATTAACAAAGTTTGAACCTTCAAGGGAAAACCAAAACACAAAACTTGACATGACAGTACATCCAAAATTTATTTAGGTCTGCTTCATCTATTTATAAATAAGGAAATAAGCTGTATAATAATATTGGTTCATATAAATATATCTACATCGAGTATATAATAATAGTATAATTATATGGTCTAATTTACTATATAATACCATGGGAACTGTAATAAGGCATTTTTCCATATCATGACATGTATATATGTACGCTATACTGGAACAAAAGGTCTGGAACTATGAAATATTACAATTACAAGGATGATATACCAGTCGCTGGAACTTCTATCTATAAACTTTACAACGGCTTTGTTCACAAAACAATTTTTTATTCAAATTCTTACAGCCGGAACGAATGTGATGGGGTAGTTTAAATATCAGAATTCAGGCATCTTAAACATTTAGCCGATAACGTCAGTGCAAAAAGATTAGCCCAAGCCGGTCCTGTATTGAACATGCGCTAATGATAAAGGCTGATACTTTCGGAATGGCTGCTGTGGCAGGTAACTCATTAAACCATTTAACGTATTTATTTCGTATTAAAAATTTATGGATCATATATAAAATGTTACTAGTTCAAAAAAGCGCATTTGGTATGTCGGTACATGTTAACGATAGAATTCTGGTTGTTATTATTCCGGGGACCGAAACAGGTCCCGGGTGTTCGTAGTATTGTAGAAGTCTAATATGAAACCATATACATCGTATAACCATGAAATTCATGATATTGATTAAAGGTTTGTTTTTAGATATATTACAGTTTGATCAATCGATTAGAACACATGGTTGCACGAGCCTGACTATTTATAGGTTTCTCTGAATTCAAACAGTCTTTTAATAAATAAACAAATATTGATTAAACCTCGCCTGGCTTATTAGGTGGTCGTATGATCCTAACTGCGTGGCTTAAATTTTATGTTCAGACCTAAAGTGAAGTGTGTCATTATTAAAGAAGTGGAACATGCAGTTTTATAATCTTCCTTCCATTAAAAGCATAGAACAAAAAATTATTGGAAGGAACACAGAGGGGTACCGCCTCGGAAGGGTCAGTGATTGTATAACCACTGGGGAGTTTAAACCGGTTTTAGGCGCGCCAAACCTAACTCTTAGCCCCAATATGTTCCTGAATAACACGAAAGTGTAAATAAAATTAATTCCCGCCAAGTGAAATTCTAACAATGGTCATGTTTACATTAGACGAGATATATAAACCACATAAAAGATTGTGTAAAAATGTAGAAAAAGGTACAGCCTAATGCCCATTACCAAACTACTCGATCCTTATAGGAAGGCAGAGCAAAAAGAAAATCACCTACACCTATCAAGTCGAAATACGAGCAGCTTTTTCAGATACACCTATGGTGTTGAGGTCCATGCTCCGTTAAATGAAGATTTGCATCATGCAGAATATAAGTTTATAGAAGGGATTTACAAATGCCGGTATTTGTTTGATCCATCTGTTCGTGCTTGACAAGTTGGTCCGGTTGATGAAGTGGTACGGAATAGTTATACGTCAAACATTATTGACGTCGAGGAAGGTGTAGGTATCGCTTCAGCCAGATAATTTTCAGCATATGTCATTGAAGAAAACTGTTATAAACTTATCAATATTGATCTCCATGAGCCTGACAATGAAGTTGAGATGCAGTTTGGAGGGACAAAGTCCTCGGTGCAGTTAACAGATCTAAACACGGGAGTGAAAAGATATGACTGCTTTGATTTTCTAAATCTTTTACATTCTAAATGCCATAACTTTGTTGTAAATTATCACTTCTGAATTTACCTAAACTTTTTGATATCGTTTAAGGTATGTGATATGATACCATATAATCGACAATTTGGTTACTTGAAGTATTCAACAAAATGAATACGAAGCCTGTACTTCTTATTAGAAATATTTGGATAAAGAGAATGGCAACTGTTTTAAGGCTTTTATGTTTTGTTTTCTTTTAGTTTTAACATTATTCCACTACTCAAAGGTTACATTAAAAATGTTCTTTTTCATTGATTATAACACTTGAACAACTTAAAATCTCAACAAATCGGCAAAAACACATAAAATTAAATACTTCTTTCATATTATAACGATACAGCAAATAGGTATATAAAGATACAGCAAATATGAAGTGAATTTTTTAATAGCGTTTTTACAGATGTGTTATGTTTCTAATTACTTACCATTTATACTATAGATAAAATATCCGCGTTTAATAAGCTCAGGAACGACTTAATCCATGAACGTGATTAGAGATTTCACCTTTTGTAACCATGACAACTGTTAGAATTTCACTTTGCGGGGATTCATTTTATTTACACTGTCTCGTTTATAGGAACATGGTGGGGCTAAGAGTGAGGTTTAGTGCACAATTAACCGGTTTAAACTCCCCAGCAGTATTTATACTCCTGACCGTTCCAAGGCGCCCCTCTGTGTTCCTCAAATGTTTGTCTATGTTGTTTTATACTTTTTCGGTGACACTTTTGTGTCTCTTGCTGTTTTCTAGTCTTTCCCTTTGCCCCTTGTTTTATTTATTCTATTTATTCCCCAACTCCCCGGGTCTCATGTCCCCTTCCCCTGTGCCTTTTGACTTTATGGGCCTAATATGTAATCATTTATTTGTTTTCTTTTGGTTTCTTATTACTTTCTAATTATTTATTCTTAGGTAGTGGTTTGCCTGCCCGTACTCTGCCGTATGTCCTTACCTGTTTTTGTTTGGGGTCCTCCTTGGCTCCTTGCCATTGGCTCTTGTTACTGGGTCGGGTGGGGGCTGCGTTCATTGAACGCCGCCTTTCCTTGATGATATTGTTTATCATATCTAACTCACCAGTTGTTCTAGAAAGTGTCTCATAAACAGACCGAAACTATTATTTGTCTACTCCGAGCTATTTCATCTTAAAAAAAGAAAAAAAGTTGCCGTGTACTGTATCTCATATATTTGTCATAACGTCAAGTGCAACATATTTTCAGCTTAAGTATGCAATCCTTTACACTTTTAGTATTGGTATCGATTTGCCTAAAGAACCAGAAAATATAACACCACTGAGTAATGAATTGGGCGGCATTTTACAACTGTCACGCAGCACTGATTTTCTGCTCGCCCTTTTCAAACCAAAGATCTCCCAAGAGCAATGAAAACAAGAGCAAATAAATGGAAATATAGATATTTATTAGAAAAGTATTTATATGTTCATGGCACTGTCCTCATTATAAATTTATACATCAGTTTCCTTATGATAAGAAGTTGTATCCTTTAGTTGCTTAGCTAAATAAAAATACATAATGTACTAATTGTACTGTTGTATTCTGTACATTATATGTGAAAAATTGAATTAAGGAATTTGATATTTTACAAGATCATTTAAAGAATAATCGTGTTATCTTTGGGTTTATTGAAGAATATAAATAATATATAAAACTAGAAAAGATCGTATTGTTGAACGCTTGCAAATATTCAACATTGTATCGTTTAAGTTTAAGATATCGGAAAATATCAACATGAAATAATACACATATATGTTCATACAATTCAATGCTTGAAAACTTAAATAGATCGGTGATTCAAAGCTATTGGAATTATTCTAAAAGGCTCTCGAAACGTCAAGAATTAAATTCATACATCATATTGTGACATGAAGTAAATGCGGATGCGTGTTAGGACATTTCCTTTGTGTTGCTCGTGGCTTGGTGAGTGTGTAATAAATTATTTGACTTGATGTATATCAATTATTTGTATGTTTAAAAAGTTATCACCCCTGGCTTCCTTTGTTTGTTTTATTAACAACTTGGATCAAGCCTTTCAGATTATTTATAACGGACCAGTGTCACTATTAAGAAGAAATACTAATATACTCTAATACTTGAAATTTTATATTGTAATACATAATTTTGCTTTGATACGTTCTTATTACAATGAGAATTTTCGAAGTTTATCAATTAAATTTTAAGACAAATTTACTGTTTTGAATCCTAACAAAACAAAAGATGATCAACATGTTCATATTATATTTATTAAGAAAACGATATGAAAATAGTTACAAAATACACATACAATATACATGTAGTTGAAAAAACAGAAAAATAAAATTGCATCAGTATAATTACATTAATAATGAAATAAATTTGCAGTATAAAATTAACATAATAAGAATTGTGCCATAAATGTTAAAAAAGCGATATGCATTTTGTATAAAATAAGTAACAAATATCATATACAATAGTCTAAATGGTTGAAACCATGCATGGAATTTCTTGTAAAAAGCGGTTAACCTTACTGTATATATACATGTGAATGTAACACTGACGGATATAATTTAAATTTTGCAATCATCAAAAGAAGACAGTAATGTAACTTTTGTACAAATATTACATAATTATTATTCTCTCTTATATTACATACGGAAAGAACCTAATTCACATTAGTAAACATCATTATTTACACATATATTGGTATAAACACAATTATCTAATTGTACAACATATTTGTTACAATTGTCACTCCTAAGTCTATTCAGCAGTCTTGCTTATATTGTCGGCAGAATCATTCTGAACGGTTACATCATTTGCAAGGAGAGCCTTCACAGATGTGTGAGAATCAAGCAGCTGTACCAAAGCTTCGTGAAGGAATCTGTATTGTTCCTGTGGTCGTAAAGTGTTGTCAAATCAAAACAAACAGTTACAAGATCAAACAAAACAAACGTCTACGTTCGTAAAATTCATGGTTTAATCAAAATAGTTTTAATAACAAGAGCACCGCAGAGGCTGGGCAATATACGCTTGGATGTAAATTTGTTTGAGTATAAAAAAATAATCGTTCAATTAGAGAAGAATTTTTACCATAGGTGCATGATACGCAAACCTATTATAGAGGTCCACTGGAATATGTCATAGAGATAGAGTAGTTATCCACAAAAAGAGATGGGTTTTCCTATACCTTAGTCTGCATAAAGAAAGTGACTCCTGGGAGAGTGCTAGTTTTAACCTGAGGTTCATGATTTATATATATTGTTGTAGAAATCTACAAATTGATGCTTCATGCTAAATATCTAAGGTAAAGTAAATGACTCCCGTACGGGTCATATATTGACCGAAGAGACATGATTGAAAATAATTTAAATTTTAAGGAGGCCTACATGCCAAATATCTAAGCTTTGTGGATTGTAGCTTAGCACTAATTAAAAAAAAGCTTTTCCTATGGATGTCTATAACAAAAAGGGGCATGATCAATATCAATTTTGTCTACAAATCAATGCAACATGACAAATAGTTTAACTCGGGCATTGTTTTTTCGCAAAATTAATTAAGAAACCCATGGGACATGATTAATACCCGTTTTGTTAAGGCCAACAAGGTAATGCTATATGTCAAATATCTAAGCTCTGGGAATTGTATAAGTTTCTCAAAATAGCACTTAAATGGGTTTTCCCATTGAAAACTATAACTAAGTGACCCCTGGTCGGTGCCAATATTAACCCAACGGGCATGATAAATAACAGTTATGTTGTAGTGGACAAAGTGAGGTTACATACCAAACATCTCGGCTCTGGGCATTGTAGTTTCACACAATTAGGCAAATGTGTATTTTCCTATATAAGTCTCTATAAATCAAGTGACTCGTGGGGCGGGGCCAATAATGAACAAAACGACATGATTCATATCAGTTTTGTTAACTGTCACTTAAAACCTCTAGATATAGTACTTTTGCACAATGTGATCCTATATAAGTTTACATAAATCCAGTAGTCCCCGGGACAGGGCCAATTTCAATCTCAAAAAGCCCACATCTGTACTCTGCACATTGTCTTGTTATACAGAAACGTTATTATTTCTACCTTTCGTTTCCAAAAATGCAAAGCGAGAACGGAATTTTATAATTAAGACAAAATGACTGAGTTTGACATTGGCGTTTTCTTGAAGAAGGTCAAAACTGTGCTCAATCTCCCACGCAGTGATCTCCCCTTACAGGATAAGATCTCTGCCATCACAACCATTTTTTCAAGATTTTTGATGTTTTGAATTTTGATATTTATTTTACAAAGTAAACACGGTTTTGCTAATGTTTCAAGACTTTAAAGTGTTAGATGTGAACAAGTATTATGAAAATAGTTATTGATATCACACCGTTTATTTCTAAAACAATGGCCGCTTTCGAAAGAGAAATCATTCAAGTAATTAATAATTACGATTCTATACTAAAATGAAATGTCGACAGATTTGACACCAGAGCAAGTTATAATGCCGCTGTTTATTGCAATTGTGCGCGGAGTTTGGCCTGCGCTCTGTACATTGTCTCATGGTAAACATTTTTGCCACATAGTTTTAATTTCATACCATTGGTTTAAAAGATAAAGACCGGTTTAGAAATTGCTTAAAGACAGGCTGGCGGAAGGTCTACCAGGAGCAAAATAATATAGGCCGAAATTGTTTTCGGGCATATAATAACAATAATAATACTAATAATAATAACAATATAATAATCACAATATAATAATAATAATAATAATAATAATAATAATTAGATTATTTCATGGCATGTAAAATATAACTAAAACACTTTCAGCGTTTGAACCACGTGAAATCATTATCGGATCATTTTAGCTTCTTTTCAATTTCCAATGCTTCAGAATTTAGTTCAAGACATCTATATCAAATGCAATTCGTGCTCCATCTGGTCTCATTTCCATTTTTAGGGTATAAAAGTATATTACATGTACTTAAAGCAAAAGTTCTGATAAAATGTAAGAAATTGTAAACTTAAGATTATTACTATTATACATTGTTAAGAATAACAATGATTCCATTCGACTGGTACACAGCTGCAAGCCCTTTATCAGACTGGGCAAGCGCCTCTTAATATAGGTCGGACAACTGTATATTCGTCCAATTAAATTCAGTAGTGTACTCACAAATGTATAATAAAATATATCATCTGGTGGTGCATTACCGGGAGTATTTCCATAAGTTGCTTAATTGCAGTTCAAACCAGTTGGGTTTATAACGTTATATTAAATTAATTGATGTAAATTTAGGGAAACCTCAGTTGTTTGTCTACTGGAGAAGAAATATTTGTCATTTGACAAAAGCCTGTTTATTGTATTTATCACTTTAATTTTGAACCTTTCGCTCTCAAAGTAAAAATTATTTTTGTATGAAAAGTACATGTTCAAAAGCATGACCTACCACTGTCTGTACTAAACTAACTCGATCCTCTCTGAGATTTCTGACACATGCAAATAGATCCACTGTACTCTCAGAAACTCCCTCATTCGCTAGTATGTCCAATGCAATAAATGTACCCGTTCGTCCAACCCCGGCACTGTAAAATGTTTACTACTATTTTGTTAACTAAGAAAAACAAATGGTTTATATAAGTAAAACATATTATTTGTTTATGCTTTCGCTAAAATATGTTAAGTTCATTTATATTTTTAAGACGACGCATTTGTCACAATCTCTCACGAACAAACAAATACAATCGATTTGTTGTAAATACTCTCGTCAGATATATCTTGTTACTTACAACAATAAGTGTTATGAGCTTTGTGGTAGCAGAAAAATGACTACGCACTTCATGTAAGTGTTGTTTTATTGTTTGGTCCTTTAATCCTTTTTGATCACTCATTACATGTACATTATACATTATCCCGGCGCTTCGGTTATGTGAAAATCGCACTTTTCATTTCCCCTTTCTTTTCCTAGCTCATAAAAGATATTCCTTGTTCAAGATTGAGTTAAAGATTTGCTACAAACAATTTAATAGTTACCTGCAGTGTACTATTATAGGCCCTAGCTCGAACGTAGGAATTCTTGTGACTTTCTCCCAAAACTCTACAATGGTGTGTGCATCTTTAGGTGTACTTTTGTCTGGCCATGCAGTAAAGTGCATCTGATAAAGTATTCTCTTTTCAAATTTCTGAAATAGATAACTTATTTCTAAAAAGCTGTTTATTTCTAATATGACGCCTGTTTTTTTAATTTGTTTGCTTTTTACTGTGATGTTCTTCCATTAATGGAAACAGCATGTGTATTTATTTATTTTATTTATTAATTCATTTATATATATATTTATTTATTTATCTATCTATCTATCTATCTATCTATCTATCTATCTATCCATCTATCTATCTATCTATCTATCTATCTATCTATCTATCTATCCATCTATCTATCTATCTATCTATCTATCTATCTATTTTTGATTTCATGGAATAAATAACGCAACTAAACAATTGCACATAGCTGACACATTGGTTGAACAACTTTTCTCTTACCTCGATTGAGAATATTCTGACAGTAAAACAGGGAAAAATTTCCTCAGATTTACCAGTCACTTTCACACCTCCGTAAGTGCAACTTACGTCTTTATCTGGCCAGTACTTGTCACATTTTTTCACCTAAATTTTACAAAATAATAGCGTTTTACCCTCTTTGGAAGAAAACTGTTAAAATGAATACAATTCTGTAACACATTCTTTACATTTATACCTCTTTCCGTGAAAATCTGTTAACATTGTAGTTTTGATAAGATAACTTTTTTTTCAAGGTAGTTGCAATTCAACTTCAACACCAAAGAAAAATATTGTTACTTACCCCTAGCTCTGTCAGATTGGTCAGCATTACAATTTTACAAACTCTTTCTTGCCAGACCATGTTCCAGAACACTCCAAAATCATCACCCATTTGTTTAATTGTTGGTCCTTTATAAATTATAATAAAGATAATATGAATGAGGTTTTAAGAATTCTCGTAACTAAAAGTACAGGTATATTTAATAGTATTATGAGTGTTATGTACGCTATGTTTTTGAAAATTTTAATGTAATGTTACTATTCACATTTAAAACTACAACAAAATAATGCACTTGTACCATTGGTACATTTAAACAGTAAAATTAATACATTATTCACAAGACAAACAAACTTTTTTTCTTTTATAACATGTAAAAATGTTAATTTATGACAAACACTTGCAATTTACGTACATACCTAGAGATGCTATATAAGCCTTTTGTCGTTTGTAACCCTGGAATTAAAAAATATTTTATAGATATAATATTATGCTGTAAAGAATTACACTTTTCAGATTCTTTTTTAGATTTGTTAGATGATTTTGATTCACATAATATTGAGTGGAAAAAATATAACAGAAATACGTGAAACATAAAAAGTAATTACGCATGGCCAATGTGAAAATATTGGCTTGATGTAATAACAATATTAATCGGAAACAGTGGTTTCCTCCCTTATGAGGCAGAATATATTATTTTATTCAGATACTAGTATATTATTTGTGGTTTAAATTATTAAGTCGTCATGTTTAAAATTTGTTCTAGTTTTGAAGTTTTAGACGGGTTATATGGCCCAATATGAAGGTTTGTAAATAGCTTAAAATTGATTTTAAATTACAAATTGCAGTCGCTGTGTATACAAAAATATAAGCGTCATGATTGTCGAATTAAATCAAACAGCACAAACAAACTACAGTTTCAAGAGAATTTTTATGCATTTTAAATTTTTTGCTTTAAGATAAATATATGACTAAAAGGAAAAAATGTGAATATTCATTAGTTATTTCTGTTTTATTAAAAAAAAGTTTTATTGCACTTATTGTTGTACCGCTTAAGATATGTACATAAAGAGAACATTTAAAACGAAACAGAATACAATAAATACGGAAAATATGTTTGTTAATTGTTTGACGCAAAAATTTTGGCCTTGACAGACAGGTTTCCACCGTAAAAGTTGCAAAGAATTATTTACATACTTATTTTTAAGACCATAAAATACAAACTGGAAACAAAATCATGTCTTCATCGAACATTTGAAGCAGTCACAATATCGGGATTGACGAATAAGAAAACATAACATTCAGAAGTCAAAACAATAATATAATAAAATTGAATTATTTAAACATGACTCACGTCTATATAGCTAGCATTAATGTAGTCTGATTCCATGTCTTTCACAATTACTCGTCTGTTATCATCTATACAGGTGATCGCACGAAAATAAATTTTACACTTATTTTTAGATGATATAAAGTAACATAAAAACTATTCTATAATAAAATAAATTTAATTTACATACTGAAATACTTAGCCATATAAAAGAATCAGTACTGAATATGAACACGAACTGAACTACTGGACCAAAAGAAACAGAAACATAGAAAGGGATACATGTGCAAATGATTTTTTTTTATTTTCATCTTGTTTTCTACTGATTTAGAATATATCCAGTTTAAGTTGTTTTTAGGTACATGTGTATTTTTGTTTTATATAAATCATTTTTTTTCATATACATTACATCATCAGAAAGGAAATCTTGACCGTGACATGTGATGGTTAATGTAAACGGCGATTTTTTATACCTGTACATATAACTAATTGAAAATTACCTAATCAACTAGCACTAAATCGGAAGCAATTTGAAAAGACAATGTCGTTTGTTAGTTTATTTTGAGTAACATACATAATTTGTTATGACTTACATGGGTAAACCCCTTTATAACGGTTTTTCATAATATTTTCTGTCTTCTGTGACTCATTAAAAGGTTTTATGAGTCCTGGTGGTAAGTCCTAAAAATACAAACAGCTTCGTTTGCAGGAGTCAAAATTATCTGAACTATAGTCTGTTCTTCTAATTGAAAATTGTTCTTCTTAACAATGTCTAAATATTTGATAAAGATAGGATTAATATGTAATAGAAGACAAAATTAAAAAAGAACACTCTTTCAAATACAATATCAAAAATAATTTAAAAAAACTAAAACAAACAAAAGGTGCTATATCAGAAGAAGTTTACTATTAATGTTGAAATTTGGTGAAATTTATTTCTACTGACATTGAATCTCATAAACACGTAATACATCTCAGTCTCACTTTAATATCAAAATAAATTTTATTAAATTATCACTGAAAATCAAATTATATTATTGTTATATTTGAACATTACCATAAATTCCTCACTGTATTCAAGTTCTGTCTTGTTATTCACGAAATCTCTGAATTTATCAACAGGTACTCTACGTTTGAAGTATTCTTCCGTGTTAGCGTATAGAAAGTCGTCAACCTGATTGGTAAAATTAGATTACATTCAGAAAAAGAGAAAGAAATTAAAGATTGGATTGATTTACTAACTTACATAAAGTAATAAGTAATAGTAATCATTATGGCAAAATACAATAGAAATCAAATCAGATAAAAATTGTCTTTATGTGCTGTATGATTTGAAATATTTTGGACATTGCTGAGATAAGACTGACTTCACCAAACTATTTTGCATAATTAAACAAAGTCATTTCGTACTTTTTCTTACTTGCTTACTTACTTACTTACTTATATTACTAAATTGTCGGATAAAAAGCATTACTTATAAGCTTTGAACCAAAAAATATGAATCTGAAAGATTAGTTGCATATATTTCTAATATACATACTAAATCATTGTCATCTACAGCTCGAATTTCATCCTCATTGTCTTCAGTGATGCCTTGAAATTGTTTTCGTTCAATGCTTGCATATTCGTTAACGTTTACATAAACATTTTCCTCGGCGGTTTGTTCACGGCCATTATTTTCTGTACAGATTGCGATAGCTGAATTAATATTTTCAATTTGTTGTACATTTTGCTGACTTCTCTGCTCGTCTAAAATGCAATTGATTTGATATATTTTTAGGAAAAGGTAGAAAATTATTCGTCTTGATTAATTTAATTTAAACTTAAATATAAGTTTTTGGAAGAATTATTTTATTTTACACAGGTAAATTTACATATGTCAATAAATAGTTAATTTATAATTTATTCCTTGCTCTGGTGCTGAACATTACTTTAAATTAAAACATATTTTTACACTGTTGGTAATAATATGTCTATTAAATGCGTTAAAAAATAAATCATTGTTATAAGGTGTCAACTGAAAGAATATAAGGTGTCATTTTACTGAAAGAATATAAGGTGTCATTTTACTGAAAGTACTGTTATTATTGTAATTCTTTTTCTTCACAACAGAATGACAGCAAATAGAGAAAATGAGAATCCCGTCTATGCCCCCTAGCATCGGCTTAAGTAAAATTCAACATTTAAACATGAAATGGTAAAATTTTGAATTTATAAACATCCGCAGATGTGGTCATACGGCGGTTATCATGGAACCTTCAATGTGACACTGCCGTGCCATTCCATGAAAAGCGACGCATGGTCCCCCAAGTAATAGAAAGCCTGTGTCATGAACGAGAAAACAATGGGCGAAATGAAACAAAGCAAAATGTTTAAACTTTGCACAAAAAAAAAATATGGCAAATGAATGAGATATCATTAAAAATAGAAACTGGTCAAGCCATAGAAGAACATCTGTATTACTTAAGCAGCTTGACTGTAATTACATCAGATATATGAAGTAAAATGTTTGGAAAATAACATCTCAATGTTATACCTGTATATTATTTGGTATTGCTAAGTAATACAAACAGGCTTTGTCAACTAGGTATGAATAAATTTCTCCTCATTTATAATAAGATCCTATGGCGATTAGTCAGTTGCTTTTGAAATGAAATAATTAAATTTTAAATTTCAAATACTTTTTTACGCATTATAATTTGTTTGATGTTTCTTATTTCTGCTTTATAATTTACAATTTAAGATACTCGTATAAAGTTACACTTAATCTAATTGTAAGATTTAAACAAAAAAGCACAATAGTATTAGATCAACATCTTTAATTGACCCATATGTAAGATATGAAGCTTTGAATCGCAATTATTTAAAAAGAAAACCAATTTCCGTAAAAGACAATAATTGTGCTTTCATATTATGTTCCTTATCCATGACATTTGTAATATTTCTTTCCTTAAACAATTCATACTTAAACATGTATAAATGATGCACAACAGTTACTGTAACTATGAATAAAATGAAAAACAATGAAAAACAAACGAAAGGGCACAAGGTTGTATTGTCTGACACATACCATCGTGCATAGATACGGTAAAGGACTTATTCAGAAATAACATTTGTCAGTCACGTTTTCAATAGGTTGAGTAATACTGCACTCTAAATGTAATTGAAATCACTGGACGTTCTATCGAAGTTAGAATATACATGTATCTTAATCTTACAAGAAAATACACAACAGTTTAGAACGATATATCAAATAACTTTTAATAAATAAGTCTTGTCTAACATACAAATTATGTATACAAACTTTGTGCAGTTTTTATTTTAACATTTAAATTCGTAGAAATCTAGTGGTTGTAAAACGGAGTAGAAAGGTTTTAAGGTGGCTTTGGAAATGTCGACATGCCGAAATTTGCAAAGTAACGATACAGCGAACAATGTAAACACATAACGTTGCATGAATTGAAAAATAGAAAAGTTATAAAACAAAGAAAATGGTTTATCTGAGATAAAAACACACGCTTCACCTTAATTATAATAAAGTATAAGGAATCAGATATCAAATTTAAATGGTTATGTATTATTTGTTTTGCATTATTAAATCATTAATTACATCTGTAGAATCTACGTTTTATCTACATATTTTTGTGATGAGAAATGTAAAGGTTGAAGCATCGTGATTCTATTGCAAATGTGTTGTTGTTTTGATCGTGTTGTTATTAAATCAATAATAAGGAAAGATATAACAAAATATGTATTACATAAAATGAAGTCTGACTATGTGAATCTTTACAATTCACTCGTAATTTCCTTTGCTGCACATGTATATAAACTAACTTTGATAAAATAACAACAATATACAGTTAACAATAATATCTTGTCATTATTGCAATATGATTAAATAAATATGAGACCAATGATAATACATAAAAGGTTAAACCGATTCAATTCATGTTTGTTTGTTTGTTTGATTGATTGATTTATTGACTGATTGAAAGTATGAAATATTTTGTTATTGCCCATTTTGGCTATCTATCGATTATCCAAAGTTAAAAACAATTAAGTGCCTAAATCTTTTAAGCCTAACTGCTTTTCAAAAAGAAGAAATTAAATTTTACAACAGACGCCGTCCTCGTCGGTTTCAAAATATATCCTTGTTATGATTTTCTTTTTTCTTGTTCATTAAAATCAATAAATACAAAACGTAATCAGCGTCTAGGGAGTAAAAAAAAACAAATAGTAGAACAGAAATGTTAACTCTACCTTTACAAGATAATATTTCCTCAGAATTTCTGACTCCTGCATATGTAACGGATTCTTCTAAAACCTCAACTGCATGGCGGTTTTGTTTCTTTCTAAGACTGAATATTTCAAAATGAATAATAACTATTATAAACTGTTTCATAAGACTTCAAGAGAAATCTTATTTTGTCAAATAATACAGTTCTGTGCCCATAAAATGTTTTAGAGAATGTAAAATATGATCAGATGACTCTTTCACTGACTTTACATAAAATACGAAGAAATGTAACATTTACGTCAATACTATGAATTTCAGTACAATTGTTAAAAACTTGATACAAAGAGAATAAGAATCCAATATGACAAAACCGACAAAATATAGATTTGAAAATGTTGCAAGCTCGGTTTAGACGAGTAAGTTTATGTAAACTTGTCCTTCCCCGTTGTTGATTCGAATCCCGTGTATACTTTCATGTGATAAAGCTCCAGTCCGGCTTATGAAAGTGCGCTATTTCTACTCAGTTACCATCTCGTATCAGTAAGAAATACATGCATGGCCATGTGAGGTCTTCTGCAACCAGTGAGTGGAAAGTCAGCGTGAGACATTTACGTTAAGGTTTAACAAACAAAAGCATATTTGCTGTTTTGATAAAAAATAAAACACTCGTCATACATTTAATACATAAATGTAGGTATTAAACATGTAGTTTTATGATTATGGAAACCCATTCAAACGTGTGGTAAAATTTCGTGTAACCTCTTTAGTATTTTATGATAAATACCTTTTCACAGTTAATATGACTGTTATGATAATGACAAGGATCAGAAACACAAGCGATAAAATGAGAAGAATTGAACCATGCCGTTGTTGTGTGCTTGAAGGGAACATGAGCACATTATCTGTTGAACAGACAAGACAAATATATCAATATTTTTACGTTCATTATCTTATTCGATATTTATTTTTCAAATACAATTTATAAAACTATCCAATGAGCTTAAATTATGTATTTACTATTTAGGATACCTCATTTAAAATAACAAAAAATAAGATACAATCGCAATGACAATCGTATCAGTTTATTTTTCTACCTTGAATCGTGGGTATTTATTTTTAGTTGGCTTAGCTGACTCTAATGTTATTCAATACAATCAATTTATTACAATATTTAGCATATTAAATTAAATTATTTATTCTTACTTAAATAGCACAAGCCTGTTTCTCTATGACATGTAAGGTTATGGCAATCACCGCTGCACTGTTTGCTGCATGTATCCCCATAGTATCCCGGCTCGCATCCTAAATTACAACTCCCAGTTATCGATTCGCATTGTCGATCAATGCAGGTACTGCTACAGTTTTCTTCACAAAACTTCCCAAACCTTTGGAAGTTATCATTGCAGCCATGGCTACATGTTCCATTTTTAACATCACATGTCGGATTTAAACAGTATTTTGGACAGGACTGCTCACATAAATTTCCCCAGTAACCTAGCTTGCATCCGGAAATACAAGCACCACTATCTGCATTGCACAAACTATTAGGACAACTGATAGGACAGTTTAAACATTTCCCATTTGAGAAATAATATCCATTCTTGCATTTTGTACAGTTGCTTTCCGATAAACACGAAAGACACCCAATGGGGCAGTTACGTTTACAGTTATTTCCCCATTTGCCGTCTTCACATTTAAGACAAGGCAATTTGAAATGAGGTTTACACTGTAAGCATTCTCCAGTATATCTATCACATTTATTGTCAATACAACCTTCTGCACAGTCGCACATTATGCCAAAGTCAGGTATATTGCACACGCGACAGCCTCGATCTGAATTACATATCACACAATGTTGTGGACAGTCTAGATGACAGTTGTCTCCAATTTTATTAGGTCTGCAATGACTGCAGGTTTTCCCCATATAATTTTTCTTACAAACACAGTTACCAGTGTTTTTCTCACACACGTTGTCTTTACATCTCGATGAGCATCTCTGGTTACATGTCTTTCCGAAAAGCCCTTGTTTACATTTGACACATTCATTTTTCGAAGAACAAGAAGCACAATTATTTAGACACGGTAAACACATAAAACTGAATTCATAATAACCCTCTGGACATTTCTGGCAAACATTACCTTTTAATATCATTCCATCATCACATGTTAGGCAGTTATATTCTGAGGTACAGGTTTTACATCGCAACGGACATTTAGTGCATCCATAACCATCTCTATAAAACCCAGTATTACATTTCATACAAATTTTGAACGACTTACATTGTGCACACCCTACGGAACACGGACGACATGCTGGAACATTTGGATATTGTTGTTTATAGTATCCGGTGTCACATTGCAGACAATAATCAACCGAAGAACAACTCTGACAATTTGCTGGGCAGCTCTTACATGAGCCATTCTGCTTGATGTATCCCATTTCACAATCATAACAAAAGCCATATGCTTTACATTTGCAACCTTTAGGACAGAATGACTTCATTGATGCTAAAATAAAAAATCAGTACTATTTTTTCGTTTATTCTCATTCATTTCACTTACAATTAATATGTTATTAACTATGATTATTCATAATAAACTTTTATTACGCAAACAATTTGGTTTTAATTTACTGTTCTTCCACATTTCCTTTTTAGTTCCTTATAATAAAATTGACACTGAGATAATAAAATTGACACTGAGATATCAAAAGAATATAAATCAGACCATTTATTATGAATTTTAATAAACTTATATTAATTTATTTAATATGCAGGTATACCTGAATATTTCAATTATCATTTATTGGCATAGTGGACTGGATAACTCCGAAATACGCTGAATTTATATTGTAATAAAATGTAATTTAAACGGTGCCCTTGTTTTACAGGTAGAATATTAAAACATTAAGGATTTTGATAAATATTTACTGATTTGTTTTGCTTATTTTATTGTTCGTTTGTATTTGCTGTTTAATTTCATTTTGAAAAATCCAATAAAGTAGAATATGTGATAACAAAAGTACCTACCGATGTTCATTGTAAACAAAAATGAAACTATGAATGTCAAATTCAACATCTGTAAATAGAAAAATGAATTAGACTGTTATTTAAGGTTTTTAAATAAATTTGAAGAATTTATTTTGTAAGATATCTACATTTCCTTTGCTGTTATTATTACCATTCAGCATGTTATTCTTCATATTGCTGGTATGCAGTTAATGAACTGTTTTATTCTATCTTTCTTTAAACAACAGTTATGTATTTAGCCAATGTAAAAATTGTCATATGTTGAGCAACAATTAAAAACGGGTACATGTAGATGAACATCGTTGTCATTAAATTTACATTTTGCGTTTTCTTTTTAGCATAGTTCACTCTTGTTCCCAGTTTGACAGGCGGTACTTTTTTCTCTTACATAAGTGTACGTTGCAATGACAAATTTTGTTTTCATAACTTTCACATAAAAAACCATGCGTTTACTGGTTATCATAACCATCAAATATATCACACTTATCTAAATATCGTTCTCAAAATAACATTATCATTGTTAATTGTAATTCACCTACGCTGCGCCTATGATATATCGAAAACAACAAATTAATGTGTCAGGATGTACCAACGGTCATGCAGCTTGACCGGTTTTATAGAGAAACTAACCACACATTGACACAAAATGTGGTTATAAACATGTAACTTATTTTATACGAAATAATCAAGGTTTCGTATATATAATTACTGATATACATGTACCTTTTCAAAATAGTTCACTCTCAGATGTTTTCACGATTAATCATATCGTATTCAGATCTAATAACAGAATTGTTTCCAACTTTCATGTCGAGTCTAAGACTCTTTAACGACTAGGTTCCACGCACAGTTTTGTATTTTAATATCAAATGATTTTTTATTCGATTAAATCAAATGAATTACAAGATTTACTTACTTTTTATATCATTTAATCCAAATCTTGCCAATACTCAATCATCAAGTTGTAACCTAAAACATTGCACGTCCAAAATAGTGAAACAAATTATGGAATGTAAATATTGATTAACATCAGCTTATCTTTATTATATTTTAACAGTGAATTAACATGTATCTTCATAACATCTCGATAAAAAGCAACATGCGTGTATGTGTTGATTTATTTTATATGTGTATGAAACCTAATAAGGAAGAAGATATGACGCATCCCATTAAAGTGTTACGGTATTTATTCTTTGATATATGAAACAGTGTCTCTAAGTCTCTTTATATATTTCTTTATTATATTTCGTGCCTTTAACGGCGCTTTTCATTTGACAATCGTCATTATAATCTACATACACGATGGTATCATTTTATTGTTCTTCAAATAAAACAACTATAGTGATGTCTTATATATTCTGTGGCCGTGTATTAACAATTTTTTTTCTTCAAAATAACCGCTTATACTGAGTATTTCAATACACATTAAATTAAACTACGTTATTTTATTAGGCGATTGAATTAATATTATGGCTCAAGAAATAGGCTTGGTAAACTTACTGCTACTTTATTCATTACCATTCTTTTGTTCGTCATGAAAGTATTTAATACACGAGTACTATATTACGATTATCGTATATGTAGGAATTTTATACATAATTCGTGAAACGTTGTGTTACAGATAAAATTTCAAAAATCAAAACGGCCGCATGTATCTTATGTTCTTTGAGAGTTTGTTTCTATTATTAAATAATTTAAAATTTGTATTACTGTAACATAAGTTGATTATGATTATACATTATAACATAAATAGATCCTGACAGCTATATTAGTTTATAATATACATAAAACATGAAACTCAAAAGAAAATTGCACTCTATTTATTTTAGCTGGCGCTGGAAATTATGTACATGTAATCCAAAATTGTCTTGTTCCGTCCCAAATTACATTAAATGGTTTTTCATGTTTCTATTTCATCTTTTTAAGGAAGAGTTTGTGCTGAAATTTGATGATACTGTCCATTATGCTGTTGCTTTTCGTTGCTGTAGTTGCGGTATATGTAATTGTTATAACTGTTGCCCTTATCAGAAATCGGTAAGATACACCATTATGTATTTGCTTAATTCTATCATCTTAACAATTTATACACGGCTATATGTCCTGTATATGTATACTGTTTAGATAATATACAAGGGTAGGAGTATAAAAATGAAATTCGATTCTAAACACGTGAAGTAAACAAATTGTGGTATGAATTAATCATGTCCCATTAAACTTCACAAAGATTTTCTGGAAAAAAATATTCAAATACGACTGGCCAGTCTCAGTACCCCACATAAAATATGACCGGATCTATGACTGCCATACATTTGCACTTAGTTATATCTTTTATCAAACAAGTTGTTTGTATAATTATTCTAAACACAGCTAGCCTTGGTTTGTAGGTTTGTAGGTTAGAGAAAGACAAGTTCACAATCAGACACCCTCCCACTCCCCTTTAACTTTTACCCCGATAGTTTTCATCATTCTAAAGCAATGGTGTTTACCTTGAAGATTGAACGCAGACAGTGTTATGCTACCAATCCATGCCGTCTGACCTTTGCCTGTGTTAAATTATTTTAGGAACTCTACGAAGAAAAGCCCATATGAGAAACGCACGCCATCTTGGATAAACTGGATACAGAACGACGCAGCTACAATTACCCAAGCATAGCCACGATCTTGAACAGTCGTTTTCAGGCGTTTTCGTGTCATAGTGATAACCAAACGCTAAAATTGTTACATGTATAAAAACATTTATAACATATTCATAACACTAAACAAAAGCTTTTTGTATTAAAGAATAAAAAGTTTCATAAGGTTTTTAAAATGATTTAATATACGAGTACATGTTTTTTTTCACTTTTAGTTTAAAACAAAGACGTAAAGCTGATTTAAATGAAGATTTGGGAGAGTTTGCTGAGAATGGAAATGAGCCTACAGCATGTAAAATGATATTGAATCGGGTATTTAAAAGAAAATGAACTCAAAAACAAACAAAATCATTTACTTATTGACAAAATATTGTATATTAATTTACGATACCAACATTTTTCATGCAACATATAAACCCGAAAATCATTTTTTTCCTTAAGTATGTTTACATGTACACTTGACATATTGTTGTTGTTTTTGTTGTTATTGAAATGTTTTGAAGCATCTTCAGATTTAACTGGAACCTCAAATGCATTGACATAACAGTTCAACCATCGGTAAGTTTCACGAGTACAAAAATCTACAGGTCTTGCAAATAAAAGGAAAATGTTTCAATGATTAAACCATTGTTCAGAAACATTTGTCTATATGTAAATTTATGTATACCAGTTAATGTCCTCATTGTCAAAATTACTCACCAGTTTCAGAAAATAAAAAAATTACCGGGTTTTACATTTATTGTTTACACCGGAAACCCATTTATATGTCTAACTCAAAGAATGTTAGTCATTTTATTGCATGCTAGGTCAGTACGAAATACAGCAATACTACTTCTCAAATGAAAAGAGAGTTGTTTTTAAATTAGCGTAATAAGATGTAAAGCATTAATACACAAGATATACATTTTAAAATCATTTTCACTGCTACATATGATATTTGCTAAACAAGGTAGAGTTAAAAGAAACTGGATACAATGTACTATTTTTTTCAAATTTGACTTGAAACCACTTTCATTAGATGGGATATGTTCTAACTAAGAAAATGGGTACCGCCACTTGTATGTATTATAAACAAATTAGTAAGTTAAGATTGGTTATCTGAAATTTCTGAACAAGAACAACAACAAATTGAATTGAAAAATGGTTCTAAAAACAAGTTTTTGTTTCAATTTAATCATATGCATTTCATAGAAACTTTTGTAGTTAAAAAAAAATAAACATATATTTGTAAGAAAAATCTAGGATCAAAATGTTTTTAATTTCTTTTACTGTCTTAGATTTCTAATAATGATGACTAACCACGGGTTTAGGTCATAGGACTGGTTTTAAGTTAACCACTGGATAACACATTTTATCCGTTAGATAACTTTTTACCAACAGAATTTATCCAACAGACAATTTTTAGCCATTAGTTAATGATTTTTCCGTTACATATTCGGCAAAGGATTTATGCAGTAGTTATCAATATGTAAATATTTACTATTGTCTTCTATTAAGCAGAACTGACAGTTAAACAGGGCAAATGTGATTCATATTGTTGGAAATATTGGCATTTTCTGTGTAGTGAAACTTAGTTTTGCTGTGGCGCAGAATGTATTTGTTAATATATACACATAATAGATTTTCTACTCATTTAACAGTGAAGTTTATGGATAATCGGCTCATTTTGAATAACGCAATTGGTGTGATTATTGTTGTTCTTGTAGTTGCTACAACATTTAAATTAGGTTAGGTTTATAATGTCTAAAGTGCTATTTTCAGGCATGCATTTTAAAGCAAACAATATTTAGCCCTGCTGTGTGAATCAGCAAATCAAGCCATTTATTTAGACATTATTTTCTTTTTTTTTAAATATCAGAATTACAGCATTAGTGTCTCTTATAATTTCCTTCTGCATGTACTAGTGTTACATATTTTTCAGACCTTGCTGTTACCAAATCCTTCTCGGTTTGAGTATAGGCCCTCACCTAATCCTGGTTCAGATCTATGGAAGAACTCCTACAACTCAGTTTGGCAGCAGCTTTGTCATGACACATTGAGAAGGTCACAACTTACTTCAGCTACATCGACGGATACCCACGACAGATAAACATGTCACATAACATGCTGATAAATGTTAATGGTTCAAATGTGGGTATCCGGCTATAGGGGTGATAATTCTGAGACATAAACGTTGTCATCTTTTTGAAGATGAAGCGATGCTTTCTTTATGGGCAATTTAGACTGAAATACATAAAAACGTTAATACCTTTTTCAATATGTAATTGCCTTTAGAAGACAAAACTCGTTTTGTGCCTCTATCAGTATGTTCGTGTTTTTTGGTTACTGTTTTTTTCAAACTTGTTTAAAATAGTGGTTGATCTTATTCCTAAACACACCAAGATTGCTCAGTATTACCATCGATATTCTTTACGTACAAATATTTCATTTCAAGATTCTGCAAAACCTATTTAGTGACCTTAAATGCACACAGAAACATCATTCAGAAACTGATTGAAGTATATGTAATGGTCTGATTCGCGTAAAGAAGAAAAGTAAACTATGATAAAAAATAAACCCAGTACTTTTCTGGATTTTTTAGAGCTTTCTTTATTTGTTGAAAGGTGACATATTTGACATTTTGTGAACTTTTCACTGTCAACAACATCTGTTCAAAAACAAAGTATTACAGGCATGTGCAATAACAATTAGATAAAAAAAATGATAAACAGTAGTTTAAAGTGACAAATTGTTATTCGTGATTGATGCCGTGCTGCTACTGTTGTTGCTGCTGCTATTGATGATGTGGTGCTGGTTATGATGATGATGATGATGGTGATAATGATGGTAATGGTGATGATGATAATGATGCTGATGAGATGCTGATAATGATGATTGTATCATCAATAATTGATGTCAGTATTTTTAGGGATATTTAGTCTGCAACATCTTAAATTTCTCGTTGTGCTTCAAAACTTCAGACAATTATAACACTGCAAAAGCAACAGTTATATCAATAAAAGGGATGTTAGTGGTCAATAATGTCTGCATCATTATTTTAGGTTGTCATGTTTGCTAGCTTAATATTTGCAAGCATGTACAAAGCAAGTACCTCTGTCGTAGGCATTTTTGGCACTTGACCCATTCATCATTATGATTGCTCTACATGCATGGCTAAGTTATTACAAGTTTTTTTAAATACTTATTTCATCTTTTCCAGTGTTTCACTGAAATATATCAGATTTTTATACTCTGATAAAGCACTAGTGAAATTTATAAGATAGGTTTTTCACTGTAATGTAGCCGGATGAAAATATCATATCTAAATGGAATGACAGGCAAAAATAAATGCCGTCATATACGTAAATCCTGCTTCATAAGGTAAAGAAACTCGATATTATTATACATCATTTTAAAAATGTAACAAAATTAGAGAAATTTAACATAATTGTAGTTCACACATAGCAAAGAGAATTCGCGATGTTACTCGGCAAACTCAGTAACAAATACTTAAATCACGTACAAAGCATGTAATTAAAAGGACATTTATTTGTTTTACATATACGATTGAAATATATATTTGTGAACACCTGCTTCAGGTGTTCACTCAGAAAAATATCGTACATGTCAGGACTCAAAGCTGTTCCCGCGAAATACTCCATACATGGTCTCGCGTGACTCCTAAGTGTCATATCGATATCAGACGGTTAAAATGATGTTTCGCTGTATGATATGCAATTTTATTGACAGCATTAATATTTCAATAATAAAAATAGTCTAGAACGATGCTGAAATGATATTTTCATCGGATAATGTACAAGAATAAATTAGGGAAAGGATATTTGCAAATTTAACAAGGTTTCTCTAACTTCTCTTATTCTGGTAAGGTTTCATAACTGGTCTGATCTAAAACTTTAAGAAAAAATGTTAAAACAGCGGCTTTTAACGTTATGGAAGCGAGAACTATTTATATGTCTACAGAATGTTTCGGAATTTTCGTAAATTTCCTTTATTCGAGCAGTTCGAATCAAAATTTTTTTAGTAATTTTACTGGAATATATGCATCTGTTTGACTTTGCATAATTTATTTTGTAGTGGAAATTAAAGCATCAATTAACCCTTAACTTCACTCGGAGCGTTGCACATGCGTCGTGACCTGAAATAAAAACAAAAACTGTCGAGTATTTGGGACACACATTAACACACATTATACATAGTAACAACAAAATAGGAGTGCATTAACTAAAATACTAAGAATGAGTGAAAACGAAGGTAAGTGCAATAATTTTATATTGGTATAGTATGAAACCGGTATGCATAAAATACAAAAGTAACTTTGTTTACGAAAGTGACTTTAAAATATGAATTATAGCCTTTTAATAGAACTTTACCGTAAGTTTGCAGTTTGTATATGTATATTATTAGAAATTTATAATATTTATTTTCAAAAATAGTCCTTATAATTTAATCGCCATTTATTTGCATAATTTCTATACACAAGTTCTGAAATCTTCCTTTCGCTCATTGAAAAAATTCGAAAGTAACTTATAAAATATAGCGTTTAAATTGATTTTTATACTAAAATTACAGTTTTTAGACGTATTTTATCAGAAACTTATAATATTTATTTTCAAAAAATAATCATCATGATATTAAATCGCCATTTTTTTGCATAAATTCTTTATACCAGTTCTGAAATTTTTCTTTCGCCCACATTAAAAAATACGAAAGTGAATTATAAAATATTAAATACAGCGTTTAAATTGAAATTTATACTAAAATAAAAATTTGTAGACGTACATTTTCAGAAATTTATAACATTTTTTTTCAAAAATAATCATAATGATGATTTAATCGCCATTTATTTGCAGAATTTCTATACATAAGTTCTGAGATCTTTCTTTCGCCCATATTAAAAAATATGGAAGTGTCTTATAAAATATTAAATATAGCGTTTAAATTGAAATGTAACTATACTAAAATTGCAGTTTCTAGACGTTTGTTATCAGAATTTTATAATATTTCTTTTCAAAAATATTCATTTTGATGAATAAATCGCCATTCATTTGCATAATTTTTATACACAATGTTCTGCCATCTTCCTTTCGCTCACATTGAAAAAAACGAAAGTGACTTATAAAATATTAAATATAGCGTTAAAATTGAAATTTATACTAAACTTACAGTTTGTAGACGTATATTATCAGAAGTTTATAATATTCATTTCAAAAACAATCATTATGATGATTAAATCGCACATTATTTGCATAATTTCTTTACACATGTATAGAAATTATGCAAATAAATGGCTATTAAATCATCATAGTAACGAGTTTAGATGTCAATGCAAAATTATGAAAAGTGTTATCTGTTGAGTATTATTTTATGTTACGGCAATTGTACTAGCTGGTCAAATTATTGGTTCTTGTTGCTGGGTCATGTGGGGGTTGCGTTCATTGAACGCCGCCTTTCCTTGTTGATCTTGTTTATCATATTTTAACAGTTACATTTTTTTAATTTAAAAGATTCTTTCTTTCAAACTTGGGTCCATATAATTTTAGGCATTAAATTTGATAAGATTTAAAAAGGATAGACTGGTTGCCTAACCCCTTGTAAGAATTGTTTCTCTTTTCCATGTTTTATAACACATAATTTTTGAAATTATTTTCATCATTCTATTTTCTGTATAATTTACCAATTTTGATTTTTTGTTCTTGTAAAATTATCGCATTTACCATCAAATCAAACCTTTCTGATATTTTCTGTAAATTATTTACATAACATATACAGGATCGTTAATAAGCCTGCATTAATTTAGCTTTATGTTTAATTATTTATATGTTAAATGTGCAATGAGTATGTTTTATAAATATTTCCATTAATTAACAAGGAAAGTAATATAGCCATATAATTCTTGAATTACACAAGGGATGTTATTCGAAACGATCCCTAATTGCTCGACAGCCAGGCTAAGTGTGTCTGGCAACTCTGAGAGAAAAATGATAACAAAATATTTTTAGGGATGAAATATCATACACTATTGATAGCCTCAGATCAAGATTTCCCCCTGTTTATGCAGTACAAGCAGAAGCTTACACATGATCATTGTTGTCATGGTTATACACACTGCAGTTCACATCCAAAAAGTACCTCTGATATAAATTAAGATTAAGATGTATAATTTTAGTATTTTAAAGCTTAAAAATATAATAAAGAAATAAACTATTAAAGTCTTATTTAAAAAAGTTAAATTTAAAGTTGATAGTTTTGTTGTGAAGAACTTATTGCACTAAAGAGGGCACTCTGCAGGAGGGGATGTACTACTGTTTATCTTTACTGGTATTGCTTAAGTAGCACAATGTGTATTAAATTTTATTTTCCTCCTGTCAGACTGAGTGTAGCTACCCAAACAACACAACCTGGAAAAAGGAAAAATGTTTTGTTGAGAACATTTATTTTGTTATTGCAAATCTATTATGAAATTATCCCGGTTGGGCAGTTCAAAAAACTTTAATTCACTCCATAGAATCCAAACATCTTCTGTGTTCCAAGACCCGTAACAATGCAAAGATACTTGCTATAAAAGAGGCTACATAATCACTATCTATGCTTAAGCAACTCAAATTGAATGCAAAATGTCTCAAAGGAATAGGTGCTTCGCCTTGTAGATTTTTTGCTGTTGCTAAAAATTTGTACCCGTCCCCCACTATAAAATGACCATAATTAACAGCATGTGATTTCTGACCAAAGATCATTTTAAAACTAGCAATTACAACTTTGTTGCTAAAAATGCATCTTTAGCTCATCTATTTCGAAAAAAAGTCAAGCTATTATCATGATGAATTTGTTGTTGTTGTGCTGAATCTTAAATGTGGCCCATACTCAAATAATTTTAAAGTTATCAACGCAAAGCTTGAAATGTTTGTTTTTAATGACTAGTCACAGTACTGTTGTAAGACAAGGGCCATTATAATGAAAGCAATATACTTGGAGTTATGCCGCTTAGAACATAGACTTTTTGTCAAAATAGACTTGCTCAGGAATAAAGAATATTTTTCTACAAAAATACTTTTATCACTATAGTTTCACGGTGAACGACCCGTCACAATAGATTGTTTTTATTTAATGCAATATGAGATGTTTCCTGATTGAATTGATAAAAGTTATTTCAATTTTTGTTGCCAAAATGATCCTTATTGATCAGCTGTAATACCTATTAAAAGATACAAATTGTATGTAATGTTCTTGATTATTGAAGAAATGAAGAACATGGAATCACTTTTCATTATTTGATTTATTAAATTCTAATAGGAGGAATTATTTATGAAATTCACTTCCTAAATCATCTGAGAAAAGCAGCGGCTGAAATACACGACCCAGTGCTTGCTGGGTCTAGCCTAGTCAGACCAAATGGATGTGTAGGATGGCCTGGCTCTATACTCAGCCAAATTCCAAGGGAAAGACCAGTAACTGGTTACACAGACTTATCCCTTTCAGTTCCAGCAGGTTAAAAACAGGCTTCCATTGATTCTGTCATTATAAAATCAAAGATTAAGATAACACTGTTATACTGATACTGATCATTACTAAATTTCATTACAAATCTATCTAATAAGATAATAAGACAGCTGGACATTTTTTCTATGAGCAACTGATGTTCTATACAGGTCAAGTAGTGTCAAAATAGAGAAAATAAGAATCCCTAAAGAAAGTCCCAAACGCCAAAATTGAAACGTTGCAGGTTCGGTTTAAATGAGCCTGTTCATGGACGGTACTGTCAAGTGCAAACTACCGCCAATGTACTCTAGCACCGGCTTAGGAAAAAATTCAACATTTAAACATGCAATGGCAAAAATTTGAATTTAGAAACATCCGCAGAAGGGTGATTAAACATTATTAAAGAAGGAATATTGGAACCACCCAAATCGATAAAGCCAACTAGTTGAAACAATACCACAAACACAACAATATTGTCGTGCTGAACGATCTTTATAGAAATAATGTATGTCACGGTCAGATGCTATTTTATAGTGTGTTCTTAAAAAAAAAGATTATATCTTATGTTCTGATAAAGGATATAGATCAAAATTTGTTGTTAGTTTTAACCATGACTCAATTTATTACTGAAAAGTCAAGGTTACAGGTGATGTAGTTTTAAGATAATATAATGTGATGTTTTTGAGTTGCCAAGTTAGTCACTGTCCCTGCTGCCCTTTGTTTGCATATTACCTATGACAAGTCTATTGCCACTTTAATTGACTTATTGTAAACTCGCACAACAAATGATGTTGCGATAAGAGGCTGTTATGTGACTATGACTTCTAACCGCCATTTCAACACATCTGCGGCTGCTTCTAAATTCAAAATTTCACCATATTCGAGTTTAAATGTTGAATTCTGCTTAAGCCGGTGCTAGGGCGCGTGGACGGTAATTTGCACTTTCCAGTATCGTCCATGAACAGGCTCAATCAAACCGAGCCTGCAACATCTACAATTGTGCCGTGTAGATCTTTCTTTTTTGACGTGTAGGGGTTCTATTATTCTCTATTATAAAACTGTTATGCAGCATTAGAGACTTTTGCTTATATCTTTAAAAATAATTAAAGCATTTTTTAAGGGTTGAACCAAGGATCACCATCCTATGAGCATGCACAGGGAGGGCATCCAGGTGGATACCAGCCGGTCCAACAATCAGAGGAATCACCTTATGAACAACCAGGACAACCACCCTATGGACAACCAGTCTATCGACAACCAGGACAGCAGCCCTATGGTCAACCAGGACAACCACCCTATGGTCAACCAGGACAACCACCCTATGGTCAACCAGGACAACCACCCTATGGTCAACCTCCTTATGGTCAACTAGGACAGCCTTATGCAACCCAGCAAGTTGTAGGTTTTACATTTTAAGCTTTACAAGCTTTACAATTTAAATGTAATTGTTATTTGATAGATAAATAATGAAGAAATGAATGGTATCTTCCTGGAAATTTTGTTACAAGTTAATTTACTGTTGCCATAAGCATTTTACAGTTGGCAATGACAAACTGAGGTTGTTTTCAATAGAAACAAATTGTAATAACGTAAACATTTTACACTTAAAAAGTTTACATGGCAAACATTTCAACATTTTAGCTAAAAATGTTTGTTGTCCATATTAAATCTCACTGTCTTTCCTTTCTATACAATTCTTAGAACAATATGCCCTCAAATGTTAAAATGAAAAAAGAAAGAAATTATATTTCGGGTGGGGGTTGCGTTCATTGAAAGCCGTCTTTCCTTGTTGATCTTGTTTATCATATTTTCTAATTAAGATTCACCTATAAATTCACTACAACTGACCTCTTACTTCAAGAGAGAAGAGTGAAAAAAGGGTCAGTAAAATATAGTTTTTCTTGTATAGTCTACATGACTTTGCTGTGTAACTAACACAGGGACCGATAAAAAGGAAAAACTAATTTATTCAACATAGTCACATGTCATAAAACTGGTGAAATTATCTGGGGATCTTTCAAAGTAGTTTAATATGTAGACTGGTATAACGCTTGTCGAATTTAAAGTTTAAATGAAAAACTCAATGTGGTCATTTATTATTACATGACTGTATATGATATAATTAACTGGTTTTAACACTTTATTGCCACAAATTAAGACCAATTTTAAAACCAAAATAGTATCTTGTAATTATCCATCTGCAGTTGGGACTGGGTTAGGGGAATGCCATTTTCCCACTTTTAACTTACCTCTCCAGCTAATTTTATATGACAGTGTCTGCCTGCTTGATCTAAGGGGAAAAGACATTATGGGGTTAGGTTTGTGTACAATTTAACTTTATGACATTCATTCCTTATAAGCTGTAGATCTGAGGTTGAAAAAGTAGCATCTCATCTTATGTACAATACAAATGACTGGTGTATAAATAAATCCCTTTTGTACATTTGTAAATTTATAAATATATTCTTAATATAATGTCAGGTGTGTTAATATGTCATAATTGAAGTCCAATATAAATAAAAAAGAACAAAAAAGAAAGAACATTCCCAGACAATTTGCTTCAAAATCTGTGACATTTGGGAATAAATTGTAAAATATGCGTTGTCATTTCCCACTTTTTTAATATCATTAAGGACAAATGCCAATTATTGTAACAATGAGACAATGTAGCTTGCCATTGAGGAAATCAATTTGTATGACATTATATAATGTAATACTCTCAAATCTTGGTATCGTAAAGATTTCATCAACATATATTCAGAACATATATTCCATTACGTCCCGGACATCCGGGAATGTCCCGGAAATAAGGTTTGCGTCCCGGAGAAGATTCATATCCACGTAAAAATTAAAATCAAAGAAACTTCCAATTTGAAGACAGAAGTATTACATTTTATGCCCCCCGAAGGGAGGCATATTAAAATCGCACCGTTCGTCCGTATGTCTCTGCGTCCCTTCTTCATTCGTGTCCGGACTGTAACTTTGTTATGCATCAAAGGATTTTGAAATAACTTGGCACAAATGTGTACCACATCAAACCGATATGTCGCATTAAATAGCTACGTCCCTTCCTCAAAGGTCTAGGTAACACTATCATTTTGTAGTTTCACATTATCGCAATTAGAGTAAATCGGTACACACATTCATGTCCGGACTGTGATTTTGTCATGCATCAACTGATTTTAAAATAACTGGGCATAAATGTCTACCACATCAAGACAATGTGTCGCCTCCAAGAATAACGTCCCTACTTTAAAGATCAAGGTGACACTAACATTTTGAAGTTTCACATTATCACAATTAAAATTAATAGGTACACACAATCTTGTCCGGCATTCATCAAAGGGTTTAAAAAAAAAACACTTGGCATAAATGTCTACCACATAGAGACAATGTGTCGCGTCTAATAATCACGTCTCTACCTCAAAGGTCAAGGGCACATTAACATTTTGAAGTTTCACTTCATCAAAATAAGAGTTTATAGGTACACACATTTTTGTCCGGACTGTAACTTCGTCATGCATGGAAGGATTTTAAAGTAACTTGGCATAAATGTCTACCTTATCAAGAAGGTGTGTGGCGTCTTATAATCACGTCCCTATCTCAAAGGTCAAGGTCACACTACCATTTTGAATTTCACTTTATCACATTTAGAATTTATAGGTACACACATTCGTGTCTGGACTGTAACTTTGCCATGCATTGAAGGATTTAAATATAACTAGGCATACATGTCCACCACATCAAGACATGTCGCGACCCTACTTTCAAGGTCAAGGTCACACTCATAGTTTATAGGTACTCACTCTCTCGAGAAGAGTTTGTAGATACAAATTCATGTCCGGACTGTAACTTTGTCATGCATGGAAGGATTTTAAAATAAATTGGCACAAATGTCAACCACCTAAAGGCAATGTGTCTCAACTAGGCTCATGTCCGTCTGTCCATCCGTCTGTCCCCACTTACACAACAATCATGTCCAGACTGTACTTTTGTCATGCATTTAGGGATTTTGAAATAACTTTGCACAAATGTCTATCTCATAACAACATTCTGTCACGTTCAGGAACCACGTTCCTTCTTCAAAGATCAAGGTCACACTTTTATTTTGAAGGTTCACAATACGAGATTACAGGTACAATAATACAAAGATCAATATTAAGCAATTAGTTACTTTCTTTCTCTTTTCTTTTCATAATACCTTCATGCTTAAGAAACCTTTTCAGGAGCATTCGTTATATAATCTTATTGTCAAGTATTCTAGAACGCTGATAACGAACGATTATCCCCGTACAGCATTGCAATATACAGTAAATGGTGACACTAATCCTTTGATTGGTAAATTTAATTCGCCTGCAGGCAATTATTAGTGCTCAAACACCGTGAAAATTAGGTGCTGAAATCTAAAGGATTGAGCGAATGTTTCAGTTATTTTTACCAAACGACATGGCTACTTGTCCTTACTTAAAATAGCTTTATTCTATTATGTGACTGATTGAATTTACGAAGCCTTAATACTTTTAAAAAGAAGATAGACAAACAGTTTACTGTCAATACTTATTGACATTAAAATCTGGAAACACAGTTATCCCTCGGAGAGCATTAATTATCATATTTTGTTAGGATTCCTGAAATTATCAATGTATTGACAAAAAAAGGGGAGATAATATATGTTTTAAGAAAAGCATAAATACATTATACCAGCTTTTGTCAGATTCAATATAATACATAAAACAGAGTCAAAACTAACCACTTGTTTAAACTCAGAGTGTGGTCTATAAGAATTCTAATAAAAATTCTTAACTCCAAGTCAGAGCTCAGAATTATTTTTTGTATAATCTTAGGGCGTTTTCATTATCTTTTATGAAAAATGTTCAAAAGTTTGTCAAATCATGATGAATTTCATTTTAAAAGACTTTTCAACCCATGACAATCCCCAATCTCACTCCTTTTAAAAAAACATAGGACTAAGGTTCATAGCAATACATATATATTTTGTTGTTTTTTAGGTTGTGAGTCAGCCTGGCCAAGCTGGTTTTGTTGTAACACAACGAAGACCTCCAGATTACATGATCCCATCAATACTGGCATTATTGTTTTTCTGTCCAACAGGTCTATGTGCCATATACTATGCTTACCGGGTAAGTATTTAATAAGCAGTTACATGTTCTTGTACAAATGAACTATTGTTGACTGTTTAAATATTTCTTTACAATGAAAAGGTTATATGCATATACGCTTTGGATCTGATATAAAATTGGCAGTCTAAACTAAGAAAGTGTAATCAATTTAGGTTATAGTGAATTTTAGTCTTAATCAAAATTCAAAAGAAAAAATGAACAAAAATTCTAGTATTTTTATTATTGTCTTGGTAAACAATGATGGAATTGTCGGTAGGTATAAGAGAAGGCATTCCGAAGCAGACTTTATATATTGTATAATAATTAACCCTTAATCTGCTGATTTCCAATTTTCATTTTGGAATAGTCCATCCATTTTATGTTTATCAAGGTTAGAGTTTGATGCTAGCCAGCCATCAGTATAGACCATGATCAGACCGCATGTATGTGCAGGCTGGTCTGTCTATATACTGGTGGCAAAGACTAATCACTTTCGCCTACAGCAATGTAAAAGTTAATTAATGTGTCACTGTATTAATGCTTGATTATAATAGAGTAAGTGTACGTGAATGATGGTAATTGCCTCGAACAAGACACAGAATTATTAATTCAAACCATAGGCCTATATACTTGTTGATGGATAACAGAAACCTATAATACCAGAATGTGAGAGGGGGGGGGGTAAGAATGATGCCGTATTTGTCACCATGGGTATATTGTTTTGCAAGGGTTGGTTGGTCTGTCAGTCGGTCGATTGTTCTGTCCGTCGATAGACCACATGGTTTCCGCTGATTATCTTAAAAAATATTTGTCACTAAGTCTACTAGTAAATGACTCCTATTGATTTTCGGGTCAAGATCACAGGAGCCTCAAATCTCACATAATGATTGATCATAACTAGTAGATGACACCTATTGATTTTGGGTTTACTAGGTCAAGGGCACGGGCCTTAAATGTCAAAATTGTTTATGCTCATTATTTTGAATTATTTTATCCCAAAACCTTGATATATCACATACTGAAAAGCCATATGTAGCAGATGACCCCTTTTGACTTGGGGTCACTTGGTCAAAGGTCAAGGTCACACAGGGGCCTTTAATGTCACAATGGTTTCAACTCAATATCTTGGAAACTATTTTATCCCAAAGTTTTTATATTTCACATACTGATTGTAAATAACCAGAAGATGGCTTCTTTTGATTTTGGGGTCACTTGGTCAGTGGTCAAGGTCACTCAGGGGCCTTAAATGTCACAATGGTTTCAACTCAATTTCTTGGAAACTGTTTTATCACAAAGTTCTCATATTTCACATAGTGATTGGTAATAACAAGTAGATGACCTCTATTGATTCTTGGGTCACTAGTTCAAAGGTTGGATCATAGGGGCCTTTTAATGTAAGAATAATTTCCACTTATTATCACTAAGTTTTTATATTTCAAATATTGATTGGTTAAAACAGGTAGATGACCCATATAGATTGGGTCTTTAGGTCAAATGTCAAGGTCACAGGGACCTTAAATGTCAGAATTGTTTCCACTCATTACCTTCAAAACTACTTGTTATCAAGTCTTTGTGTTTCACATTGTAATTGATCATCACAGTCACTAGTGGATGATTTTGAGGTCAAAGGTCAAGGTCGTAATAACGTTGAATGTAAAAATGATCCGCTTATTCTCTTGACACCAATTAGTTACCAAGTCTTCATATTTCACATATTGATTGGTCATAAGTAATAGATGATATAGAAATAGTCTCCGTCCGTCCTTCCGTCCGTCCATCCTTCCGTCCGTCCTTCCGTCCGACATTTTTGTCCGGAGCATATCTCAAAAAGTATTTGAGGTATCAACTTGAAACTTCATAGGCGGATAGATCTCATTGAGGAGAAGTGCGGTGCACAAGAATGATAACTCCACCCTGCATAATTCTTCAGTTATTGCCCTTTGTTATTTTTCAAACTTAATTTTTGTCCAGAACATAACTCAAAAAGCTTATGAGATATCAACATGAAACTTCTTAGGTGGATAGATCTCACTCAGGTGGTGTGCAGTGCACAAGAATGATAACTATGCCTTTCATAATTTTTGAGTTATTGCCCTTTGTCATTTTTTATACTTAATTTTTTACCTGAGTGAAGCATAACTCAAAAAGTCTTTGAGATGTCAACATGAAACTTCATAGGTGGATAGATCTTATTGAGCACAGGAAAGATAACTCTTTCCATTATAATTTTTGAGTAGTTGCCCTTTGTTATTTTTCATACTTTTTGTCCGGAGCATATCTGAAAATATGTTTTGAGTTATCAACTTGAAACTTCATAGGTGGATAGATCATATTGAGGAGGAGTGCAGTGCACAAGAATGATAACTCTACCCTGTATAACTTTTCAGTTATTGCCCTTTGTTATTTTTCATACTTAATTTTTCACCTGTGTGACGCATAACTCAAAAAGTCTTTGAGATGTCATTATGAAACTTCATAGTAGGATAGATCTTATCAAGGAGGAATGTTGTGCACAAGAAAAATAACTATTCCCATTATAATTATTGAGTTATTGCCCTTTGTTATTTTTTATACTTTTTGTCCGGAGCATATCTCAAAAAGTGTTTGAGTTATCAACTTGAAACTTCATAGGTGGATAGATCTCATTGAGGAGGAGTGCAGCACACAAGAATGATAACTTACCCTGCATTTTTTTCAGTTATTGCCCTTTGTTATTTTCAGCCATCAGTATTCACATAGGTTTCCAATCTGAAATCACTTCAGCCATCAGTTTTCATAACCTTAAGACCTCTAAGAATTAAAATTTTCTGCTCTACAACATTTATATTCTTCCAATGAGCAAACACATTCGGCGAGGGATGGCCATGTTGACATGGCTCTTGTTGATTTGGGGTCTCTAGGTCATAGGTCATTGTCACAGAGGCCTTAAATTGTGGAATGGTTTCCGCTCATTTTATTTAAAACTGTCTATCACAAAATTTTCATATTTCACATATTGATTGGTCATAACTAGAAGATGCGCTTTATTGATTTCGGGTCACTAGGTCAAAGGTCAAGGTTACAGTAGCTTAAAATATAAAAGTTGTTTTTGATTGATAACTATTGAATGGCAAGTCACACAACTGTCAAAGTTTGTTGGACAGTTCCATGTCCAAATTTTGGCATGTTTCTATAACAAAATTACCAACAGTCAAGGGCTAGAAAGGGGCATATTTTTCATTCGACAATTTTTGTTTCATATTGTTTCTTATGAGAAACATATACAGCTAGCTTATAGAAAGTGGTAGTTCTACTTAGATTTTCGCTTGTACCTGAATGATGTACTACAGATCTTCCTCCAACTAAGAAGTTGGAAAGTCACCATTTGACCTTAGCAGTGTTGGAAAAGTACTTTAAACTCTACCCTCACTCTCACACACTTAAAATGACTACATATATGTAACCGAATCTGCACAAGTAACCAATACAGACCAAAAATCATTGTCTGCAACCCTAAACTTTTTAATTTCTACTTATTTTTCCTAAACATGATGAATAACTAGTTCAAGATTGAAAGATGGACAAGTTTATATATCAGAAACCATGTCGATATATCAGAAACCATGTTGATATATTGGAGAACCATGTTGATATATCAGTAACCATGTTGATATATCAGGAACCATTTTGATTTATCAAAGACCATGCTGATATATCATTGATTTTTTCTGTCTATCCACACAAATTTGAAAATGGCAATAATTTTGGTTAATGAATTAAATGTGTACAAATGACAAAAAAATACCCAGCATATAAATGGAAGCTTGTGTCCTGTCAAAAGGACACATCTGAAGCTATGCTGTTGTTATTAAATTCCCATACTTCATTACAGTAATAGGAAAAAAATGTCAGAAAAAAGATGCAGATGCAATACAAATAATTTTATGTACAGAGCATGTACTTTACTGAAATCATGAAAGTAGGAATGAAAGTGTAACATAGATATATAATGTTCAATATATTGATTTATCTTCAATATTTGTTATATGACTAAATAGTCAGTATGCTTTGAACTGAATCAATGGCAGCTGTAGTTAGCTTGTCTATTTTGAGGAAAGAATTTTGTGATTGAGACTTGCTAGGTGTTTATTAATGATGTCTTCTTTATAGAAAATGAATACTATATAATGACTTAATATCTTTATATTGTGCGTATACATGTACGAAATATTGAATATATTTTCACGAAACATGACGTTGAGTGAAAATATGTACCATATTCACAAACAAACGAAAAAATAACATTTTTATTTAATTTCATCATCACAGAAAAATGGTTATGAACCCCTTGCTTGCTACGCCACTGCAATTGTTCAGCGCGCAGTAATATATTGATAACTTAAAGAAGCGTCCTGTTTTTACTGTTTTTGCATGCGCTGTTTAGCACTTAATTGTGATGTCACGTGAGCAACTCTTTAAACATATGTACAGCGTGATGATTGAATTAAAGATATTGGTGTTCGGATTCATTTTCTTAGTTAGACCATTTTCTATCAATCTAGATAGTTTTCAAAAAAAATTCAACACAAAGTTATTTTTCTCATTTATCAGATTTTTCAAACAGAATGGCGAAAGAAGTCCTTTAAATTAATATTAGTTTTAACACCGCCCACTTTCATATTTATATTTCGTATTTTTTTTTAAAAAATATGAAATATATTTGACTGATATAGCACCATATGTCATGGGTAAAATTAAATAAATATACATATTATCCGACAAACAAAAGTTAAGAGGGTGTACTGGAGTCAGCTTGTAGTCGATCCGTCCGTCCGTTGCAGAAATCTTCAAATTCAAATTTTGAAGGTATCTTATTGAGTAGAAGTGCAGTGCAAAAGAACCATAACTCTGTCTTTCCTGATTTTGGAATTATTGCTCTTTGCTTTTTTTACACTTTGAACTTTGTCTAGGACATAACTCAGACGAGGGGTATCAACAAAAAACTTTGAAGGTAGATAGATCTTATTGTGTAGAATCGCAGTACAAAAGAACTGTAACTCTGCCTTGTCTCGTTTTGGAGTGATTGCCCTTTGTTTTTTTTAACACTTTGAACTTTGTCCGGGACATAACTCTAAGACGACAAAGGGTATTAACAATAAACTTTGAAGGTAGATAGCTCTCATTGATTAGAAGTGCAATGCAAACGAACCGTAACTATGCTTTGCCTAATTAAATCTAAGTTATTTCCCCTATGTTGTTTTACACTTTGAACTTTGTGCAGGACATAAAGCTAAAACAACAAGGGGTATTAACAAGAAACTTTGTAGGTAGATAGATCACATTGAGTAAAATTGCAGTGCAAAAGAACTGTAACTCTGCCTTGTCTCATTTTGGAGTTATTGCCCTTTGTTGTTGTTTTTTTCAGTTTGAACTTTGTCCGGGACATAACTCAAAAACGACATAGGGTATCTACAAGAAACTTTGTATGTAGATAGATCCCATTATACACAAGAGCAGTGCAAAAGAACCAAAACTATGTCTTGACATAATTTTGAGTTATTGCCCTTTGATTATTTTTACACTTTGAACTTTGTCCGGGACTTAACTCAAAAACGACAAGGGGTATTAACAAGAAACTTTGTAGGTAGATAGATTTCAGTGGAGAAGTTTAATAGTAGTGCAAAAAAAACATAACTCTTCTTTCTTTAACTTTGGAGTTATTGCCCTTTATTCATTTTTACATTTTGAACTTTATCTAGGACATAAAGTGAGAACTATAAAAGGTATCAAAAGTAAAACTTTGTAGGTATATAATATCACTGAGTTAAAATGCAGTGAATAAGGAATGCACCATCTCATCTAAAATTTTGGAATTATTGCCCTTTGTTCTTTTTTCACTTTGAATTTTGTCCGAGACATAACTTGAGAGCTATTAAAAGTATCAACTTTAAACTTTGTAGATAAATAGATCTCACTGGGTAGAAGTGCAATGCATAAGAATTGTAACCATCTCTTCCCTAATGTTGGAGTTATTGCCCTTTCAAAAACAAATTACACTTTGAGCTTTGTCCGGGACAAAACATGAGAGACGTAAAAGGTATCATCTTGAAACTTTATAGGTAGATTTATCTGAATAAGTAGAAGTGCAGTGCAGAAGAACCGTAACCCCCACCCTTCCCTAATTTTTGAGTTTTGACCCTTTGTTCACTGGGGTCATTGCTTCCCCCCCCATTTGTTCATTTTTACACTTAAAACTTTGTCTGGGACATAACTTGATGATTATTAAAGGTATTATCAACTTAAAAGATAGGTTAGATACGATAGATTTCAGTATTATAATTCATCTTATTGATGTAGGACAAATAATTCAATAACATTTCAGAAACATCGATAAACTACTGCATTATATGCAAAAGTATTAACTAAAAGTCATGTTTTCTGAAAAAAAAACCTTCTTAAACTAGTGTGAATAGCCAGACCTATAAAGAGAGAAAAAGGAAAACTTTTTCTTTACTATTTATTTAAACCGTTTATTTGTTTGCTTTTAGAAAAAGTAAAAAAGTCGGTGGCTCTTGTTTTATGATTGAATACTATTTCACCTGGGTCTATGAGAATTTCACTCATGTTTTCAGGCAAACACTCTGGCAGCTGCAAGGGACATGACTGAGGCTCATAGGATGTCTCATAGGGCTAGAAATTTGATGATTACAAGCATTGTGATTGGCGTGGCCTTGATCATTCTCGCCATTGTGTTGTGGCTGACGGTTTTTGCTACATCAACAATCACATATGAATACTTAAATGATCAGATTGCTGATTCGAATAAGATAGGTCAACTATCTTCACCTTGACATCGCTTTTCTCGATATTTCATTATCTCGATGTAACTTTATAAGTCCCGATTTCCTTCCCTCTCTATCTATATTGAATATATTTGTTTATCTCGATATTTTTATTTCGATATTTTCAGAATTGAAGTTTAATGTCATCCCCAACAGTTATTTTCACACTAGTATCCTTAAAGTTTGTTTATCTTGACTTATATTTTTTGTCTGCCTCAGCAGAGGTGTAAGTAACACAAAGCAGACGGTCATAATGTGTAATTATGTTTTAAACAAGTCGAGCTGTTTTTACATAAAACTAAATCCTATTAGCGTGTTGATTGTAGTATTAAATTAATTAATTTACTATGACTTCGATGAAATAGTGTCAGTATAAATACATTGTCATTGCAATATTGTTTACATCATTTCGGGAGGCAGATGAAAATTTCAAATTGTCTGGAAATTAAACACTGTTCGAACATGAGAAACACGTGTGGATAGCTGAATTGACCGCAAATAAAAACAACGCTTTTGCTTTTGTGGTGTATTCCTGAGTTAACCTCACTATGTGTGTTTATCACAGACTGCTGCATGTCCACTAGTAAACATCCGCTGGTAACATATTTGTACATTATTGGCTTTTGAAATTGCGATATTAGACGCAAAAAACATGTTAAGTAGACATCATACTTAAATATATAGATATAGATAAATGTATTAGAGTTTGAACCAGTTAGAAACAAAAGACATGTGCATACCTTATATTTGAGTCAAATAAGCTAAGTAGACCTCATACTTATTTTATTTGACTCAAATATAAGGTATGCACATGTCTTTTGTTTCTAACTGGTTCAAACTCTAATACATTTATCTCGACATTTCGTTATTTTGATATTTTTGACGGTCCCGATGACTTCGAGATAACGAGAGTTGACTGTATTTCAGGTATTTTGTCAGCTGAAAAGAAACATGACTTATTGCCTTTGTCTTTATTCTTGATGAAGATAATCATTATTCAGCATTTTCTTCAGTGTGGCAAGTTTGGTTCTTGCTTAAAATAATATAATGTTAGCCTTAGCAACTGCTTTATATGATACACGTGTTATGGTATTTACTGGAGTCCAGTATTGTACTCCAATGCTTTTTTGACTTATTAATTTTGATGCTTATTTTCTTAAATTGTACTAAGTTCTTAGACTGAGACCCTGTAAAGATGCAAAGTACTAATTTATTCTTGAGTGCTTTGTGTTTTTGTGGCAAATTTATATTCGAATGAATATATTTAGTACAATTATTACGTCTGTTTGATACAAGATGATTCTAAGTAACGGGTAAGTTTCAAAGCTCGAAATTTTGTCATTTAAATGAGACCGATCAGCAGTCATGAGTTGAAGTCCCGATTGTCTTTAAGATTTTATGCGAGCTTCTTCGCCTTACCGAAGTTCTACTGTACTTGTTTTAACAGGGTTGCCTTAAAGTTTAAGGGTTTGAGTAAATCAAATAAAGTCACTGTCAGCCTAAGTTACATTTCAACATTGCTTTGAATCTCTTATTTTGAATCTCTACTATTTTCTAATAACATAATTTTAGTGTTTTATTTAATTCAAACACGCTACATTGTATTAGAATCAGTTTTTTTAATTTGACTCTTATTTTATCTTTACATTTTTTTTCCTGCATTTGTTAAATTTTATTTTCTGTACCATATATTTGTCAGTATTTTCAGCATATATATACACTTTTATGAATTATTGCTAGATTCATTTTCATAAGATATGTAAGAAGCTCTTTCGTTTCATTACATTTTCTTTTTATATTTGTATATGTTTGTTTGTATAAATGCTTATTTATATTTGCTATTTCATTAAAAGTCCTCCGTTTCAGAAATTTACAATTTGACAAAAACAAGCAGTAGTTCATGTTCGGTTCTGGCGAGCACTTACTTTTTTGACATAGTCTATATTAGTTGTATGTTCTTTTTGTACAATTTGACTTTATAGACATTTTTGTGTGATTTTGTTGGTCTTAAATCAAAAGATTCTCTTAATTCCAAAATTTTGATATAGTTTGGATTCGACATCAAACTATTATGTTTAACCATAAGTTTAAAGATTAGTATTTTCAAATCCTTTATATGAATAATATATTTTATAAACAAACATTTTTGGAGAAATTCTGCCTTATATTTGATGCATTTCAGATCAGGTATATGTTATATTAATCATAAACTATTTTTATTTCATTTATAGTTGTTTATATGACTGTAATAAATAATTTACTTACTTATTCACTAGTAAAGGAAAATGACTGACATATTAGCTAATGTGTTGACTTACTCTTTGGCTATTCTGTGTAACATCTTCAACAATATCTTTGGCTATTTTGTGTAACATCTTCAACAAAAAAACACACACACAAATAATAAATGCATAAAATAATTGACTTGAAGATTTGATACAATTCATGAGTTTACAGATCAGCGAACATTAATTGTTGTATTACAACGACAACTGCTACCAAATTTCAATTGGTCACTTGTTTATGATCTGACTAATTCACTTTCTTTCCCCATATGACTTGGTCACCTTTTGGCTGGTTGATAAAAAATTGTAAGTATAACAATGGAAAGGTATCAGGTCACAAGGTAGCCAATAAATATGAGTGAGACTATAAAAGGGATTGGAGCACCACACTAAATACCGTATTCCGGTATATACTGGACAAGGCACTTGAATGATAAAATGCTAAAATCTTGCCTTTTTACGCAACGGAATGAACTTTAACAGGTCTAATTCATCTTTTCACACCGAAATAAGTACGATAATGAATGAAAAATGTAAAAATCGGCGAAAAAAAAACGATATTTGTCTATTTTGTGATCATGATTTTTGCAAGCGTCTAGAGGTACTGCTCCAATCCTGTATTGAGTTAAATCCAATAAATATTTTAGTCATGTTAGTCATTTTGATGTTGCTATCAGGCATTTCAGGGGTCGTAGACCATATTGTTGTAAGCCAATGAAACAACAAGGAACAGCCAGCTTCATGTCCAACCCCTTAATATATGTTAGTTCATAAAATCTTGAGATATTGTTTTAAGATTTCGTAGATATTTTAACGTCTTCATTCTTAGAACAGTGGTCCAGAGTAAACAAAAAGTGTAGGCGATTAAATATAGCCTGGTGTCAGTATATACAAGCAGAAACTTGAAATTTTGCTACCTCACAATTTTTTTAACTAAGAACATTCTGTTTTTAAAAAGACCCAACAAATTCCCCTCTTCTTTTTTTGCTGATTACCATGTGACATTGCTTTACAAAAAAGTTTCATTTCACAGAATGAAGACTTTTATTGTGATGTAATACTCTTCTTTTTTTCTTTTTTTTGAAGTTAAAATTTTATTTCTATACATTGTGTAATTGAACAGTCATATTTTTTATTTTATAATATGAAGGAAAAACAAGATAAGAATAGATGCAGCTTACACTTTGTCACAACATTATAATTTTTATCATGCTCAGTAGGAAGAAGTAATTGCTTCTGTTACAGAATTTATATATATATATAAAGAGAGAGAGAGAGAGAGAGAGATTATTTCCCCTCAATGTTACTGAATTAAGACCAGTTTTCACATTGATGATGAAAAAGTTGTAAGTTGAAATGCATATATAAAAATTAAAAAAAAGATAGCAGAAACAATAAATTCCCGTCTACTATATAATATTGTGGGCACCAGGGGTATTGTGTGAAATATTTTATAGTTGCATCATGTGCACCTTTCGGTTGTATTCTTTTATCCAACAGAAACAACAATGTAAACCTACTTCAATTTAAAACTTTTATTTAAATATGAGCCGCGTTACGACAAAACCAACATAGTGCGTTTGCGACCAACATGGATCCAGACCAGCCTGCGCGTCCGCGCAGTCTGATCAGGATCCATGCTGTTCGCTTACAAACACTATTACAAGTATAGAAACTGATAGCGAACAGCATGGATCCTGATCAGACTGCGCGGACGCGCAGGCTTGTCTGGATCCATGCTGGTCGCAAACGCACTATGTTGGTTTTGTCGTGACGCGGCTCATATGTATTGAATGTTATGTGCCATGGTAGAAATAGGCTTATAGGTATTGTTGTTTTATGAATTTATGGACAGCTGATTTAGGTAAAAATTCTTTGATACATATATTGATATATTTCTATAGTACCAATATGTTAAAGATTTTATCAGTTTTCATGAAGATGATATAATTATGAGAGTTTTTTTTATCTGATCTCCATCATATAATGTATTGGAAATACCCTAAAATGGCTTCCAGGAGAGGTAATAATTGCTTTGTAAAAAGCATCGATTGAATTACAGTAGAATATGATTGTTGGTTTGAATTAACCCCCTACCCTATAAAGCGTTGTTATGGCATGTTAATGCTTTTGATCTAAATTATCTTCTTTTTTGTAACATCAATACAGCTTAACCTTAGTTTTACAATTTGAGTTTGAATCTTTCTGTTGTTATAATAAGGGATTTTAACAACTAGATGCTAATGTAAAGTAGCCAACATTATATAATCTGATCCCACTGCATGTCTAAGAGTTGCCTGTCTTGTCGAGGAATCTGGCTGAAATGCAATTCTAGAATATGATGGGATTGCAAGTATGGTCTAAATTCTGGTTAAATTGCAAGTCTAGAACCTTGTTGGATTGTAAGTCTAGTCTGGTTGAACGAAATTGAAAGTCTAGTCTAGAGTCTAGTCAGACTGCTAATCATGAGTCTGGTCGGACTGTATATCTAGAGTCTGGTTGAATTGCAAAACTACAGTCTATTGGTTTAAGAAGGTGATTATCTCTTGTTGCATCATTTGGATAACATTATATATATACACACTATCTCAGCTTTCATGATATTGATGAAGTATACTAAGTCTTGTTACATTGTAATTTCATCTGTTGTCTGGTTATGTAGACATTATATCCTAATAAATTAATGTTATAATTAATTTAATGTGTTACTTTCCTTTGAAATCAACATTGATTTGATGTTACACAATACCCTGCAGGTGTTGATGTGTGTAATGCACATGTCCTGCTTTTATTTTATCACCATCATTTTGATACGCACTTGTCAATTGTAATTCTGGCCCCAACCCTACCAGAGGTGAATATGATTCACCTGGGGTCAAAAAGTAGGTCACACATTCCAAATATTGTAAGACCTTGTTAACACTTGAGTGACTACTGTTTCAGTCCAAATATCCTGGAAATTGGTCAGAAAGGTTGTTATGATGATCTTTAGTTCGATATGGGTAACTTTGGGTAAAAGTAGGTCACAAGTATGGAAAAACCTTGTTGAAACCCAAAGGCTACTAACCAACTAAGGTAACCAATAAACTCAAAACGTTAGCACCACACTATGTTCAAATATAAATACATATAATTTTCTGCGTTTGAACGCAGTGAATTAGAAGATAATTATTTTCCCCTGTTTCGTTTTAATTCTTTGCAATAGGTGGCGCTGTGTAGCGCACGAGTTTCTCGGGTATAATGTACAACGTGATCATTCAGCGCTTGGACAGCCGACGATAATGAGTGAAGAAAATTCTAATTTTAATATCTAAAATATTTTAAGATATGAAGTTGCGCCAAGTTATTAAGATTTTTTATTATATATGTTTGTGTTGTTTATGCTGTTATGAAAGTTTACATGGAAATGAAGATGATTACGCTTATCCCTTGACGTTGCATTTGTATTATATAAATGTTTGTACTTTAAGTTAAAGTATTGTGAAACAGTCGGCATATCCAAAGTCGCTTATAACAAATTAAACAATTTGAAATGTTTATGTTCGTTTCTTTCATTTTGTCACTTTGCAAACAGTTTGCAATTATCTAGAGGGATTATTGGATCCAAATTCTTACCAATGTCACTTCGTTTTCATTTCTCGAGTCCGAGGAAATCTATATCAAATCCATATTGTACTCAATGTAGCGCCTCGTCCTATATAAGTTCGGCAGCTAGGTACTCGTCCAAAAGAATTCAGTATTGTACACAAAAATGTAAAATAACCTCTTATTATCGTTACATTCTGGTAGTCTGAAATTAGTTGACCTTGAAATGATTACGAATAAGTAATCACTTATTTGACAAAAACAGAATAGTAATATATTTGCGGAAACAAAGCACATGTACTTAAACATTTTGTGTGTTGATTTTTAACCAGAGATTGTACTATTTCAATGTGTTTCAAGTGAACTTTATGATGATCCTTTGCTTCAACGACTAAAATAAATCGCAATATACAAGCTTTGTCACCATAGAAAACTTAGTTCAACATGTTAATATGCTTGGAGTGGCGCTAACGTGTCACATTGAAAGTTCCTTGATAACTGCTGATGTGATGAACACATCTGCGATGTTTAAATTTATTGCCAGAAGGAGAAGTATTTCAGATGACACTTTAGCTTTCATTCTAATCCTTTTTTTAAGAATATTTGAAAACACTTTGTGTATATTTTAAAATGTAACATGTGAATATATTCTGAGAAGTAGAATACATGTATGTTTAAAATTAAAAGTTGCACTCTGCTTAAGCCGGTGACTTGCATTTTCAAGTGCCGTCCATGAACAGGCTTAATAAAACCGAGCCTGCAACATTTTCAATTTTGTAGTTTTTGGTGTTCTTTAGGGATTTGTTTTTCTCTATTTTATAAGATTTTCAAAACGTTAATTGTCCATTGTTTGTTTACATTTCAGAAGTTACACAATAAAACAATGGAATACTGTTTGGTGGAAAAATAATTTACTGAAACTTTGTAAAATGGTGGACAGATCATGTTTTACATTTTTAAGAAATAAAATACATGTAGTCATAGCATGTACTAAATGTATTGTGGGATAATGTTATACACTGGCCATGGTGCGCTTAAATCTTACATATTGGATTAAAAGTGTTCTGTCATATACAATGTACGTTATTAATACTTAAATTGTGGCGGCGTGGTCGAGTGGTTAACGCGTCGGACCAGTAATATAAGGGTCTGACTAGTAACCTAAGGATTACTGGCCGCGAGGGTTCTAACCCCGTCAGGGTCAAGCCGTTGTTTCCTTGGGCAAAACACTTTACACTCATTGCTTACTATTGATTGATTCCAGGAACGGATACGAGAATGTTTCAATAAGCTTATAGCTTCCAACACAATCAAACTAAAATAAATCAGTATAAAGTAAAACTTTGATTATTGGAATAATAAAGAAGAAAATCATTCCAAAAAAAAAAAAACAACACATTTTATCACCGATTATTTTATTTCACACGTAATGTATATACTTTGGCCAAAATTGACCTAAAATAAATGGTAAGATTATATAAAAATTAATAAGAAAATGTCATACACATCATTTTTTAAATTTGATTTAACATGATTTTATAACACTACAAACAAACAATTATAATAAAATGGTAGTTAATAAGAATGCTTAAACAATCATTATGTGAACATTGAATCAAGTCCAGATCCTAGTATGTGAAAGCAACACACTGTTTGTTTCAAGCATGAACTCAATATTTTAATGGGTAAATTGCTATACTAGGTTATTTCTAATTGGTCATCTTCTCTTGTAGGTGTTGTTGTTGCTTTTATTAAAATCGTATTTATAAGAGCATTTAGCGAGTCTCAAATATGGCAATTTGTTCCTTGTTTTAACATCTATATGTAAAACAGTACATTTAATAAACAGAGACAATGTTTGTTAAAAACATACAAAAATGACTATAAGAATATAAAAAACACATTAAATACATTTTCCAAATTTTCTAGTTTATTGGCAAGTTTTAGCTTTTTACCCTTTAATGAAATGCAACATTTGTGTACTAACTTAACACTAATTTCTAGAATATTTTGAAACAAGTAGCTTGCTAAATCACTCATGAAGTGATTAGGGACAGGCTACGCGGTTGGTATCTCGACTTTTTTTTCTAAATTTTATTTTTGATATTGGAATCCCTTAAAAATTAAATAAACTGTTCCAAATTCAGTGTTGGACAAGTTCATAACACAATCCAAGTTGGTTAAGGGTTAATGCTGGTTATGTGACGTGATGTTTTTCAATAATGAGTAATATGAATAAATGATTATCTTATGATGGCAATGATAATATTACAAATTAAAGACAACTGGAATATAATATTAACAACATCTTCATACAAAAAGCTACATTTGCTTAAATACAATGCGTGAGTAGATCTTAGAATGACATCACGGTGATTTCAAATTGTTAATAAAATTGGCCAGATTTTAAAATAGATTTTTGATAATTCAATACGGTCCATGTCTTTTTGTATTGTCAATAATGAAAATACATAATACATAATGAAGACATAATGAAGACAAATGTAGTAAAAATGAAATGAGTAGCAACGTATATGGTGTTAGTCAGTAACTGTAGATGTAAATGATTCTCTAAACTTAAGATATTACATCTAAATATATGAATGTACTGCCTTTCTTAATATGAATTATCGAAACTTCATCTTTTTTGAAAGTGTTAAAGTTTGTAATGTGATAGTCAAATATATTATAAAATATTACTTATATAGTCATAATTCACATTAAACAGAGACAAGCAATATTGTTGTGTATCTTAATTATAATATAAAATCCTTCTGGCGGCAATCATATTTTACCTACGTGACCAGTGCAGACCAAGATCAGCCGGTACATCCGTATCATTTGATTATGGTCTGCACTTTTCGATTTTCACTACACTTTTCGCTATTCACTGCACTTTTCGCTATTCACTGCACTTTTTGCTATTCAGTCAGTATATACATGTATTTCGTTTGGAATTTTCATAGAAATGATTAATGATTTTTGTCAATCACATCATCTTGACCTTTTCCGTTAAACTTCAGATAAAAATTATAATAGCCGAGATGTACCGATTGTTGTTGTTGTTTTTTTTTTTGTCGAGGAGTCCATTCATTTGACAAGTATTTCTAATGATAACGTCGCACTTGACTTCGTAATGATAAAGTCTATAAATGCAATTATATGCATGTAGAAAGATAAATGGTTGTCATGTAAACAGGATGCTATATAATGTGGTAGATATACGCAGATGAAATATTTCATTTGATCACTAAAAGAAGAAAAGCATACTTTAAAATGGTATAAATATCAAAAGATATTTCAAAGTATAAATTATTTTGTTTTTTGATTGGCAAGAAAAGTATTTATTACTTTGATTGGCAAGAAACGTATTTATCACTTTAACCATAATTATATACTGTATATATAAAGACTGAATAAAATATAAATTGATTTAAATGTAAATGGTCCTTTGATGTTGGATAAGACAATTTGTCAACACCATATTATTACTTAGATAGCATTAAAATATTAAATATAATATAAAATATATCCTGTCCTTCTCAAGCAGTATTTAATGACTGTAACCGCTTATTTGTTTAGGCATATTTAGACAAATGAGTATGCAATAACTGTAGTAGAGTGATGTCTGTAATGACATGCCCAACATTTGTATTGTAAAACATGCTTGAACCCTCCGAGGTTTGCAAATAAAGTTTGTTGTAGAGAGAATCTATCCTTCGGATTGTGTTTATTAAATAAACCTTTTCGGGATCCAGTCCTATTTAGAACACTATCGTTGTTTACTATCGCCTCTCTTCTTATTTTATATCTAAACTTATAAAATGATACTTTTTTCGGACTAGCAAATACTGTATTTGCTATGAATCAAACTCTTCATAATCTTCAGTACGCCTTTCTTTTAATCTGAGCACGTTCCATTCGATGTAATATACGAATCATTATTTGCTGCAGTGTCGCCTTTTATTTCAATCTCAGCATCTTCGTAATTGTCCGGCGTTGCAATAGAGGACATATTCGAAATTTGTATTGCATCTTTTAAACCTGAAACATAATAACGTTTCTATCGATTAAATACATGTATAATAATTTTTTTCTGAAAATTATTTCGTAAATTAAGCTTTGAGAAAATATTGATCATATTCAACTAAATGTTTTCCAATAACTGATATCACAACACCAAACTCTATGTGAGTAAGGTCTACTTAAATTTTATAACTATTACTCATCATTACCATCATCATCATCATCACCATCATCATCAGCATCATTATCATAATCATCATCATTATTATCATTTGTTGGACAATCTTAATATTTTTACAAAAAATATTCGGAAATTATGGAAAGAAGTAGGCAGACTTACTGGCATCATAACATGGATTTTCTTGAGAGTTAGAAATGACTGGGGCCCTCTTTGCTCCGCTTTTAAACATACTGAGGAGGAATAAGAATCACAAAAATAATTCTTTATGAGAAAATTATCATGTAATAAAATGGTATTGATTATATGTACGTATAATTTTACACACTCTTAAACGCTTCTGTTTCAATTGTTGTTGTTGTTGTTGTTTAGCAAACAATTTAGCAAATAAAGATAATTTGGGGTGGTAATTGTAAATGGTTATAGATAATTACCTAATTTAAATAATGTTGTTGTTGAAGCATATCCAAAACACATAATAAATTTGTTTTGTACCGGTGTACCTGTCTTTATACTAGTATCTCGTTTTGAATTTTTTAGAAGTAAACATTACAACAAACGTCCTACAAGATACTGGATAAACGCATCTACTTCCAGTTTTCGCAAGAAAGTTAAAAGTTAAAATATATTGGCTCCCATGACAGGTAAAGTAATCGGAAGTAGCACTAGCAACGATTGTTATCACAATACAGTGTAAACATTGAATTGTATAGACTTGCAGGACATTGTACATACACGGCTTTTAAGTAACGCATTTTGAGACTCTACTCCGAATTGAAAATTATACATGTTATTCAATGTACGTTAACAGAATATAATGTTAAAATAAGAGGAGTTGTAACATTTATATTCAAAATATTAAAGAAGGATATATATTGTTTTTATGTAATACTGACCTGTTGCACATGTGTCGTCTGCGAATGCAGACGACAGTGATTGTGAGGGTGGTGAGAACAAAAAGAGCTATAAGCCCAATTATCAGGTACAACATGTTGTCTTCAAAAAAGCCTTGTGAGTTGTCGGACAAATATTTCTTATATTCTGTAAAGTAAATGTGTAATATATGATTATAATTTTTTTTTGTTGTATTTTGTCTTATTGAATGTAATATCAAAAGTGTTTTTGAAGTTGGAAGGTTACATTTAAATTTGGAAGCTCATCGGTTTGCCCTTAGAAATCGAACGATTGTTAACAGCTGGTCGTACTGTTCTTCGTACAACAATGTCGCCAAGATTTAAGAGGAACTTCACTTCCAAGAATTTAAAGGAACACCACTGCTGTCCAAAAAGCCTAAAAACATAAAATTTGAATTTCTTACATCGACCATCTGGGACACTTAAAAAAGAAAGATATTCACACGATAGTATCGATATATACTCAGAAATTAATTGAAATTCGTATTTTTGTGTTATTCTTAGCCTGATTTGAACGAAAGTTTTGGTCATTTTTCACAATTACAATAATTACAATGTACATGTATTCTAGAAGAACGGAGTGACCAAATAATCTTAAACTGTGCACACAAGTTATTAGTGTAGACATATATCATAGAATTTTATCTCGGAAAATTATTTCCATTCACGTCATGTAAATAACCTTCAGTAAATTCCTTTAATTAGTCTTTGATGCGTCCCAGAATTCTTCATATACATGATAAAAGACGGCGGTGATAAAGGTTTGGCTTTGTTCGACAGTGAATCCGTCTTTCCATCTTCATACATAAATAGTTCACAATCATTATTACCAAATAAGCCATTGTTAATATTTATGTTATTTTCATTTTTGGTCTAATGAAATTTAGATTCAATGAATTTGATAATTTGAGCATGCACTTGAATCCTAAGATTGTATTTCTTATAGTAACAAACTTTAAATGAATGGCTAACTGACAAAGTAAGAATGTAATGTCACTAATGTCAAATTATCTCAAAACGATGTCCTTATAGTTTAAACATATTTATTCCAGAATATATACATATAAATATAAACATTTACAATACAAATCAAACATTCTTACATCCAAGAAAAGGATCATAACGAAAGACTTAGTCTTATAATATCCTTCTCCTTTTAAGTGTATTTCTATAATGTGTCGAGTTTTGTATTATATCAACAAGTATGACAAATGGAAAAAATTAAAGATGCAAAAATGTGTTATCGAAGTAGGAAACTATATAGCAATCAAATATGACATGAAAAGTACTGTTTAAATGTGATGTTGTAGCTAATAAAAACATAAACAAGTACCGAAATTGTTCTAGTTGAGAGAAAGGAGTGTCTCAGAAATCATTTTGTTTCTGATATGTTAATATATGTATAATGTTGTTTTCGTATTATAACAATATTCTGAGGTGTACGCAATCAGTAACTGCAATCAACTGATGTCTGTCATTAGGCAGGTGATATATATCCTTTTAATACAAATCAGGAACAATGACAGATTGGAAATCCCGAAGCTCATCTGCAAACATACAATTATGTGTGGATCAAGCTTGAATTCATTTGTTCATCTCAAAGATGCGTCTTTTGAATATATTAAATATACACGTATACTGACCGTTGTCACACGTGCGTCCTATAAAACCATGTTTACAGTCACACTGACCAGTTACATTGTGACATGATTTATCTTTACTGTTAGTGCAGTAACAATGCAAGGAACAGCTTGGTCCGTATGTACCTGACTCACATTCTGAAATAACAGAAATACACAGTAAGTATAGCATTTCAAACGTTTTAGAGGTCACATGTCATTGTTATTCTGTAATTCATATGTTTTCGTGATTACCCTGAAATCGCTAAGTGTTTTAAAGGAACCTGCTCTTGGAACCACGCAATAAAAGCACTGATTAAACAACGGGTTGCCACTCGTAATATAAGCTATTTGAAAAAAAATCATATTTCAACTTCTATAATTATTATAGATTATGGATTTTAAAGGCATTTTGAGCTTCCCACTACAAGTGTCTAGGGGTTAAAATTGACTGATATCTCTTTTTTATCCTTTAATCAAGAAATCTTTGCTTATGAATTTTTGCCAAAGTGTATACACATATTGTATTTGCAGCTTTTCACACATTGAGCAATAATATTTTGCAAATATGAGCATGTGTTGAAATTAATCTTTGCCAAAATGTGCACAATATTGTTATGAATCTTTGCAGGATATGACATTCATAGAGTAATGGATCTTTGCTAAAATGTGCACATATTGTTATGAATCTTTGCAGGATATGACATCCATAAAGTTATGAATCTTTGCTAAAATGTGCATGTATTGTTATGAATCTTTGCAGGATGACACCCATAGAGGTATGAATCTTTGCAAAATGTGCACCTATCGGTCTAAATCCTTGCAAGATGACACCCATAAAGTTATGAATCTTTGCAAAATGTGCACGTATTGGTCTAAATCTTTGCAGGATGACACCCATAAAGTTATGAATCTTTGCCAAAATGTGCACGTATTGAAATTGATCTTTGTATAAAGTGTACTGACATGAAGATAAATTATTTTTGCAACATTTGCACAGTATATGTAATATGCATCGTGTATTGGTGTATTGTTAAGCCTGCATTATTATGTCCCAAAAATGCTGTTACATGTATTCTTTTTTTAAAAGCTTTTCTTTTTCATCTTTTGTCTTTTTTGTATTTTGTATGGAAGATGGAACAACTATATGTTTCTGAGGCAAAATGGGCTTTTAAGCATGTTACTAAAATTATATACAAAAACATATCAAACTGACGCAAAAGATATCAAATAAAAAGAAACATGAAAATGTAAAACATGCCAGATCAGAATTGTACACAGATCTAAAGATCAATGACAAAATATATACATGTACCAAACAATAAGCGCGGTTATAAAAGCCTTTAGTTAGAGCTTAGTACTAGGCCAAAAGCCCTGTAACTTGCAGTCGGGTCAAGTTCCAACTTGTTCGCCACTGTTTTCTCTAACTATTAAAATAATTGCACAAAGCAGATGATATCTATCCCCGACGTCCAAAATTCCCAATCTAATTGTGAACTGGACAAAATAACAAAAATGGGCCCTGTGTCCAGCTATACTTATTTTTATTTATACGGTTATAATTATCGGCACTAATTCATTATCATTATAAGTGTGCAGATATTATCTGACCTTTGTCACATGTTCGCCCGGTCCACCCAGAATCGCAGACACACTGGCCAGATGTATTATTGCAGGAGTTGTTTAAACTGTTTCTACAGTTACAAAGCCAGATACAATTTGGCCCGAATGTACCTGCTGTACATTCTGAAAAATATAACATACATAATAAGCATACGAGAGAAAACATATTCTTCTAAAACTAAATAAATTTAACATATATATACTTGTACGTTCTTTTCTTTAACACGTATACGTTCTCACTTTAGCATTAATTATTTAGTAAGTTATATAGTTAACTTAGTTATTTTGGCAATTTTGCAAATAACCCGAGCGATGAGCTTGATAAAATATGACAGTCAAGGCGCATGTATAAGAATGCAATATAAAATAAATGATTTCGGTGAATTAGTGTGTAAGTAACCGTGCCCTGAGAGCAGTTAGGTCCGCGCATTCCGAGGCAAATGCATGATCCGTTTATATTATCACAGTAGTCCGTGTAAGTGCAATTATCAGAGCAGTTTCGTGAACAGTTTTCTCCGAAGGTGCCCATCTGACAGACTGAAAGAGAATTTGTATAAATTAAAGTTAACACTATCAAAAGATCTTTTAGAATTTATCAGAAAAGCAAACGCTCGTTAAGCAGGTTATTGATTTTCATTATCAATCAGTAATTGGTAAAATAATCTGTTCGGGAGAGGGTACAAAAAGCAGCTTTCGCTGTCAAGTACGAAATAGTACATGTCGCCAGTAAATTTTGAAACAAAAAGTTGAAAATTTGACAGAGTATTAGCAATACAAATGTCTTGGAGTATTAGCTAAAAATGTCCTTTGAAGCGAGGTACATAACTGTACAGCGGTCGATAAGCACCTAAACATACAGTAGCATGTGACAGTAATGAAGATAATAGACTAACATATAATCACATCATGTTTTGAAGGAACATCCTACGAATATCATTTAAGGTTGTATGACTTCCAGCTTTGTTCAAAGGAAAATTGACGAAACTGTTTCAAGATAAACAATTTAATCTGTAAATGATCATATATTTTTTTAGCAAATTAAGTGATATTAATGTCCTGTCAAGACTTGCTCATTTAGTCTTTTGACTTCCAACAATGTTCCATCGAAACCTTTATTGATTTGTTTGTAATTATACATGTATTGACTGGAACTGACGTTTTATCATTTATTTTATACATGTGTCTATTTTATCTTAATTTTACACATAAACAATTCATATTATGAATTTTTATACATGTTTATAAATTCAAATATGTTTAATTTGTACATCAGATGTTCAAGTTAAAAAAAAAGATAGGGCATTTTTACTCATATGTATACTACATTAACTGCTGGAATAAAGAAACAAGAGGGTCATGATGGTCCTGCAAATAGGCCCCTGGGCCGAGGCCAAGTTTAAACCAAGGGCTTTATTTCTGTGAAGTTTGAATGAAATTTGCTTAGCGATTTATGAGGATGTAGTTTAAGGTAAAAGTTTACGGACGGACGGACGCCGGACGTAAAGCGATGACCAAAGCTCACCATGTCACTTTAATTTATGCTAAAAACACAATGTTTATGATCCAGCAAACTGATATAAAAGTCGATTATTACCTACCCGAATCACAATCTCTGTTTTCATAACCCGGCTTGCAATGGCAGTAGCCCGTTTCCCTGTCACATGTTTGCGTGTTACTGCGGTCACACGTGCAATTCTTCAAACAGTCGACACCAAACGTCATTGCGTCACACTCTGTGTGTTTAAAGGAAAACGAAATACAATTATGTTCATAGTTCAATAGACAATTTTAATGATGAAAGAATTAATTTGATTTTTTATATAAAGTTGTTGTTACATGTATATCTATTTAATCAAATAATGGCATGTTTGGCCCTAATTAGTTGTTTAGACTTGACTCGAAGATAGAAATAACTGTGTGTATTTCTAAAAAACATCGATTAAAGTAACTTTGTTAGCTGAAGTCTTTATCAAAAAATCCAATGGTTGGTGTTTTTACATATCTCTATTTGAAACTCGCTATTATTGCAATTCATAAATTTAAAGGATACTACAATATGGTAAGGCTTTCCTTGCCCTTTGATAAGAACGCATACCTTTAGAACAGTTCTCTCCATGCCATCCTGATTTACATATGCATGAACCGTGCACGTGGTCACATGTTTGATTTTCGTTGCACATGCAAGTCTCATTACAAAACAACCCGTATGTATTATTGGTACATTCTAAAAAAAAATATGTATATACATGTATATTTATTTAAGTGGTATCCATTCCAGAAAAAAGACTCTGAGCATTGGTACATGTTTTTCATTTTCTTTCATATTCAAATCATAATTAAGAAGACTTAGAAAATATCATTATGACCAATTCCAATTATCTTATCTACCAGAATGAGATATGACCTTTCTCTTACTATTTCATTATTTTATAAAAACCGAACGAGTTAATAATCTTAATACGTAATCCCATTGTCTCATAAAAAGTCTTAGGTAATTCTGTTATGACTTAATCCAACAAACCATTTATCAACCATTGAGGCACAATCCTATTATCTCATTAAAAAAGGTAGAGATACTTTTGTTATGACATATAATCCAACTTGTACCTCATCAACCAGAATGAGATACATTTACAAGATTTATTACACAATCCCATTATCTTTATTGACCGATCTATGATTTTCTCAGCCAGACGGAGATTATACCATTATCAAGCAGTCCTTTCATGTTATCAACAAAATTGAGATAAAATCCTTAACATACATTTAACTTAAATAACATAATACCCTTAACACTAATTTCACTTAAATGGGACAATGCCCTTAACAATCATTTCACTTAAATGAGATAATATCCTTAGCATATATTTCTCTTAAATGAGATAATACCCTTATCTTACATTTCAATTAAATAAGACGATATCCAAAACATACATTTCACGTAAATGAGACAATACCATTAACATACATTTCACTAAAATGAGATATTACCCTTAACATATATTTGACTTAAATGAGATAATACCCTTATCTTACATTTCAATTAAATGAGACGATATCTTTAACATACATTTCACGTGAATGAGATAAAACCCTTAACATACATTTCACTTAAATGAGACAATAAAAACCCTTCAAATACATTTCACTTAAATGAGATAAATCATTAACATACATTTCACTTAAATGAGACAATACCCTTATCTTACAATCTCATTACATTAGAAACTAGAATGATATAATACCCTGATCACACAATTCTCCTTCCCAACCAGGGGATGTACAGTTACAAGATCCGTCAGCGGCATTGCACGTGCTGTTATTTTTACACCTACACTTGTGTTCACAGTTAACACCATAAAAATGTGTAGAACATTCTGTAAAACAAAACAAACAAACAAATTTGAAATAACAAAGTGTATCAAGTGCCATATAATGACTGTTCTTTTGTTTGTTTGTTTGTTTCATTTTACGCCTTTTTCCAACAGTATTTCAGTCATATAGGCGGGTAGTTTCCTAACCATCGTTCCTGGTGAGTTACACCAGTACTAGACTACCGTTCTCCGCGCTAAACTACCAAAGCATCTCCCGGGGATCGAACCCACGCCATAGAGGTAACTGGATAAGAAGTCATCGACTCTAACCCCTCGACCACGGAGGCGGTCATGACTGTTCTAAAATGATGATTATGATAATTGTTTGTTAAAAGACTTAACCTGAAAAATCCTTCTTCTCTTCTTCTTCCAGTACTGTACATAACCCGCTTTGGGGAATTAACGTACAGGGTGTATGTACAAAGTGCTGAGCGGCGAAAAAGTGTAAGTTTAAAAGAAGAACAGGTTAAAAACTCCGTCATATTAGGGCCCCATGACAGGTCCTCCCTTGAAGGCCTCAAGTTAACTGCTGTGACTAGGTGCTCTAGAAGCTGGTTCCACAGACGGATGGCCGAAGGTACAATGGAGAACTTCATGGTGTATGTCCTGCAGAATGGATCATGGAATCTTTGTCCGAAGCCGTGGCCACCAAGGGTTAAGGGGTGGAAGTACTGTGCAGCTGGGATGGCTATGAGGTTGTGAGTGATCCTGTAGACCATCATTAGCTTGGCATTGAAGCGGCGATGCTGTAGAGTTGGCCAGACTAGGACTGCCATCATTACAGTGGTGCTGCTGGAAGTCTTGTAATCACCTTTTACAAATCGGGCAGCTCGTCTTTGGACAGCTTCCAGCTGGTTGATGTTAGTGGCTGTGTGTGGGTCCCAGACTGTGCCTGCATACCCCAGAATTGGTCTAACAAGGGTCTTGTAGGCCTGGGCCTTGATGTCTTGTGGGAAGCTTGTGATGTTTCTTTTAAGGAATGATAGGGAGTTGTTGTCCTTTTTGATGGTAGATTCTGTGTGTATGTTCCATGAGAGATTATTTGCTATGTTGACACTAAGGTACTTTCCACGTTTGACTGATTGAAGAGTTGATTGGCGGACCTTGTAGGCATAAATGATGGGGTTTCTTATCTTGGTGATGTGTATTACTTCGTATTTGCTGGGATTGAAAGACATCATCCACGGCTGGCATGTCTGTTGTGTCCTCTGTGGTGAACACCCCAGTGAACTGTTTGTTCAATATGTTAGCCTTCTTACTTAGATTGCTGTGGGTCACACCGTCACATTCCAATGGAGAGATTCCCATGCTGTCAGACCGCTTCCTTTGATGAAAGAGTAGAGCTTCTGAGTGTTTCCTGTAACCATGTCTCTTACATAAGCTTGTTTTGCCTCCCGACATTCATAGTGTTGCTCCTTTTGAAGGTCTTTGTACCGCTTGATTTCGTCTGCTGTCCCTGAGCACTTGACTTTGTTGAATGCTCTTTTCTTTCTTCTAGAAAGGCGCTTAATCTTTTGCTGTAATCCAAGGTTGGTTGTGCCTAGTTGTTGACATCTTGGATGGGACTGTGGTTTCTATGATCTGTGAGATTGCAGTTATGAAGTCGGTCCACATGATTTCAATGGCAGAGGTGGCAGAGTGATACTGTATGAAGCCGTTAGTGAAATCTTGTACAACAGAGCGTATGATGGCCTGGTCAGCCCTTTAACACAAAAGTATCTTCCTCTGTGGTGCCTTTGTTCGTGCTTTTTGAGTCCTAGCCTGCACAAAAGAGTCATGGGAGCGGGTTACTACGTTCAATAAGTAAAGGTCTTTTTGTTATGAAATGGTCCAGGGTGTTGTTGCCTCTGGTTGTAAAATCCACAATCTGTTCAGATGAAATATCGTATTTAGTGTAAAGCATACACTTGCTAATGCTCTTAGGGTAGTTTGACCCAACCACAGAGTTTAAGGTCCAATCAATATCTGGTCGGTTCATATCACCCGCAATCCAGATGGTGGCGTTCTTGTTCTATGTGTGTAGCTTCTTGATGCATGTGCAGAGGTTTTCCATGTAAGTGAGGTCGCTGCTTTGTGGGCGATATGTAGAACAGATGACAAGCTGGCAGTTGTTTGGACCATTTAAGGAATCTGCAACTATCTACGTTGTTGATTTTGTGTCTAGTTCTGTGACTCATATGTTGTCTTTCGCAGCAATGCACCTCCATGACGATTTGTCCCTTTGTCTTTCCTGACAACGAAGTAGTATCCATTTGGGAAAAACTTTTCATGGATACCAGGATAGAGCCATGTCTCACAGCGAATGATTTTGTCTGGCTTAGTTTCAGTCAAAGTCAGCCAGAGGGATGCCCGTTTAGCCCTCAGGCTCTGAACTAGAAGAAAATTGTGGAATGGAATACTTTTTATCCTAGAGCAATAAAGATATGCATGCAAAACATTAAACAATCGATAAAAGGACGTACTTTCTTTTAAAAATGGGTAGTGTTAACATCTGAATAATAACAACAATATTGAGGTACTAGTATTTTAAAGGTACTCAACTGAGGTCTATTCCCATGACGTAACTTTTTTTCTGAGAGTGATGTTTCATTTGATATAGGTCTAGACCCATAACTTATATGCAAAATTTCAGATCATTTGATATCTTCGTTTTTTCCAGAATAATATTTCTTATTGTGAAAAACACCAAAAATTAAAAAGCGTTGCGACGCATTTTACTCAAATCGGACGTGTTTTATCACAAAAATACGATTTGATATTTTCAATATATTTCTGGATATATTTCTTTCACAAATCTTTCTGTTTAAAGTGCCCAAGCCGGTAAACTTAAGAAATTCAAATTTTATTTTTTAGGCATTTGGACCTCAGTGTCCTTTAATTTCACTAGAAGCACATACCTTGTGTGCAATTGTCGCCCGTATACCCTGGCTCACAAATGCACTTTCCTGAATCAATGTCGCAATATGAAGGGCAAAAGCTACAGTTTTGCGTACAGTTAGTACCATACAGGCCTTCCTCGCAACCTACCAAAGAACAATGTGTATCAATACAATATGACAAAACGAAATAAGTTGAGTGACGTTTGAATCTTCGCTGGAAGTTCGTGTTGAACAGTAAACGGTTTGTTTTGCAACGCTTGCTCCAGGAAACCTTATTTCGTTATAGAATAAGGCTCGTTCAACGACTGGCAAAAGTGCATGTCTTTCCACTGGACTTTAACCAAATACCTGCTCTTGAAAAGCAGTGGAGCAAGAAGTTCCGGGTTCGAGTCATATCAAGGACAAGGATAAATACTCTAAATTGTTCAACTTTACCTGGGAAACCGTTGTAATATGTGGGGTCTGATTTTTTTCATGGAGATTGATAGATACTAATCTAAAAGCGCGTCAAGTGCATGAAACTTATAGTAGTATAAAATGCAACTTTCAACATTTAGTTACCTGGAGTGCATTTATTGCTCTCATTAAAGAAACCAGGACAACATTTGACAACCTCGTACGGTTCTTGTTCGGTTACTGTTTTCTTGATAGTCGTTATCTGTGTTCTGAAAGACAAAAAAGGTACTCTCTTAAAAGTATGTAAAGATTCAGGGAGGTTTAAATTTTTTTAATTGCAATTGTGAATTTTGAGTAACTAAATCAATACATCTGGGTTCCAGGCATGGTTGTTTTAACGAACTAGTTGACAATTTATCAGCGTAAGTATAATTCGAAGTCGTGTTTTTTTTGTTGTTGTTTTTGTTTGTTTTTTTTTGTTTCTATCTTTTTGTTCTTTTCTTGATGTTTTGGGTTTTTTAGCTCACCTGAGCTAGCTCAGGATGGCCTTTAAATGTCTGTCGTCAGTCGTCTGCCGTCCATCGACCGCCGTCCGTCCACATCTGTTTGTTAACACTCTAATGGTCATATTTTTGTCTCAATCATCTTTCCACAAGTACATGGAAAGCATTGTAAGCAATGGTTTCTTTATACGAAATACAGATAACGAAAATAGGAATTACCGATTCAGACGCATACCTTTATGCAACAATATCGCTAATGCACCTCTTTCGTTCATTAACACATACAGAAGCCCTCGGACATATTAAATCCCTCACCGGCTTTGAATGCATCCAAGTGCTTCTGCAGATATCGATGCACGAGAAAGGTGCGTTTAAAAAAAACTTTTTTGGGGGGAGGGGTTGGGAAACTCTGTGACCTACCTTTTAAACCGATTGGAATCATTTGAACAACTTTGATATAGGAGACCATCAAAGGAACATTCCTGTGTAGTGGTTTGGTTGATGTCCAGTTATTGGTTTCAGAGTAGATTAGTTCTAAGTATTCGTTGACGACAAACGACGGACGACGGACGGAGATGGATCATAATAGCTCGTCATCAGCACATTGTGCTCAGGTGAGTTAGATAGAGCTACACTTTAACGAACTATTAGTTGGCCACTATATCATATATGATATTTTATAAGAAATAATTTGATAAACAAATATAAGTATTGTACACGCTAACCTTTCGATTAGTTTGATAAATAAAATTTGTTTTTGCGTTCAAATTACTCATTATCCCATTTACCCAAGCTTGTGTTCCTTGTTCACGACATGGTTGTTTAAGATTAAATGCATTCTTTGTTTATTTTCTTTTATGTAAAACATAAAACATTCCAATAATGACCTTTACACAATGCCCTCAAGCCTTGAGATTATTCGTGCCTGTGTAACATTAAATTTTGACCACGTTAAAAATTTACCTGAAACTTGACTCTGCCAACAATTCAACATTACATTTTGATAAAAAAAATGCGGTTAAAAATCTTCAGTCTTATTTTTATGACATTAGGGTAATTTTTTTAACAGTTAGTTAAATTTAAGTTAAACGTCTGTTTGCAGTAGAGAAACACATAGAAGAAACATAATCTCTTACAGGCATTTCCCAAGCATAACATGGCCAAGTCTAGGCAATAGATCAATGGATCGGGTACCAGCGGTAACGGATGTTTGTTTTTGTCCACTCGAGGAATATTGATATATAAACAATAAATAAGTGCAAAGTGTTATATAAAATGTGTCTTAAGGATATATAGATATAGAGGATATTTGTTTAGTTAAGTGTAAGATAGGAATATATTTCACCGAGTGAGCACCAAAAGGTATATTTCACGAGTGGCGCAGCCACGAGTGAAATATGAACTTTTGGTGTTCACAAGGTGAAATATATTTTGATCTTACACTAAACTAAACAAATTTTCTTTTTATTATATGCAAAGAAACGTTTTAAAAAGACATTAAACCCAATTCTGAATGAAAAGCGCGCCAAATAATAATACAACGTGACGTCATTTACGACGTCACGTCATTAAGTTGGTACCCAGTACTGTGCACGCTGGTATTTCACTGAAACAAGGTAAGGGGCTTAAATTCAAACAGTGAAATTACCAGTTTTATATCACTGATATATTTCTATAAACCACCGAAAAGCATGTAATAAATAAGTTTTTGTATGAGGATATACTTTGGTTACTATAATTTCTAAAAAAAAAACGTTTGTGAACTATTAAAAATATTGGTACATTATGTCTCTATAAATAGCCAAATTCATCATGTCGCAAAAACGAGCTAGCTGCTATATCATTTCGCACAGAGATAGTGCATTATTGAACTGAGGTAACTGAGGTAACTGAAAAATCATTCTGCACGAAAAAGTCATGAAATATTTTCTATTGCTAAATGGGAACCAGGCAGATATTTGAAAACCACAGTGTCTAACCGTTCAATATTGAAATATATAGAAATTGATTAAAATGTCAAATATTAAAGAAAAAAATTACTCTTGTTCTGATGAAAATGATGAAATGAAAAGGAAAAGAAAAGCATGTAGTAGTGTAAGTAGCACATTAGATACTAGTACTGGTATGTGTACAATAGGAGAAAAACAGAAAAAGAAGAAAGGTAAACAAGATATTGAGGATGACACATTAATACAAGAAACTGATACACAACAACTAAACAAAATTAACAAACAGTTAAAAGACATAAACTTGAAGCTTTCAAAAGTGTACACAAAAGATGATGGTAGCTTAAAAGATATGATAAAAAACATGTTCAGTCAAATGAAAGAAGAAATGCTATCATCTGTTAGTAAAAGAATCGACATTCTTGAAGGAAAATTATTTGAAAAGGAAACTGAAAATGAAGTTTTAAAACAAGAGGTTAAAGAGCTTGAAAAGGTACTAGAAAACCAAAAAAACGAAAATGAAAAACTAGTCGAAGAAATACGTATAAACGAAAGGCAAACAAAAGGAAAAATAAATGATCTCGAATAATATAGTCGAATAAACAACCTTCGAATTGACGGGATTAAAGAAACAACTAATGAAGACCAGCAACAAACGGAGAGAAAGGTTATGAATACCTTAAATTCTTACATGCTTAAATTAAAACTAGAAATAGACGATATAGAAGTCGGTCACCGCTTAGGCAAACAAGATGACAAAAAGCCTAGACAAATAATTGTTTAATTCTGCTCACGGGGCACAAAAGTAGAAATACTAAAAAATCGGAAACTATTAAAAGGATCAGGAATTTACGTTAATGAAGACCTTACTCGTTTGAATCAACACGTTTTTACATGTATAAGGAAAAAACTGTCGGATGAAGTGGAAGGTGTGTGGACTAGAAACGGTAACATTTTCTACAAAAATAAAATGGGATCAGTTCACCGAGTTCATTCTGATGAATACAAGACATGGATCGATCTACCTTGGCCGACAGTAACACCAGACCAACTTAAACGTCCAGCAACCCACAATGCATGGTTAGCCCCAGTGAAATTAACAAAGTAGTTATATGAGCAATGATCAGCATATGTAATACAAACATTTAACAGTGAAGTTGCCAAACCGGTTTTCTTATATAAAAGTAGACGCATAAGTACACATTGTCAAGCAATGGACTTTCATTGTTAATTTTTTGTATCCTTCTCCATATTTGTCTACTTTATACTATCGTTTACTAAAATATACATTTAATATGAAAATCCTGAAGCAGTAAATTTAAATTACTATATTTTTTTTTTTCTTTTACAATTAGAATATAATATACCCCTATACACACATGGCAATGCTGACCTTTAATAAAGTATACATAAAAAACTGAACTAACTATTTGAGCTTAAGTCATAATAGAATTAACAGGATTTCTTTCATTAATTTTATTGAAAGCACACAATATGGAAACAGCTGATTTAAGAATATAAAAGAATAATTATGATCTTCTTTCCTTGTTTTAGTCATTGCACCTTCACGATTTCACCAGATTAAGTTAACATAATAAAATACACAAAACATTGTTCGTTTAAAAATATTATTATATCATTGTATTTGATATCTTTATCGAGAGGAAAGCAAAACTATCATTTACAAAACTGTCCTAGGTAAAAATTGAGTTATATACATGTTGTTTGCTTTATGTCACTGAATATTATTTTGTTGAGGTTTCTTTTGTGTGTAAAAATTACTTGCTCAAAACATACATGTAAAAATTGAGTCATATATATATTGTTTGCTTTTTGTCACTGAATATATTTTGTTGTTTTTTGTTTTAAAAATACTTGCTCAAAAGATACATATTTATGTTAAAAACAAGTCTTTTTCTGCCATGGCTGTTTAAGCTGTAACACATATAATAATTTCAATATATAAAGAATAAGGGTGAAATGATGACTTCTTTCCTTTTTTAATTAAGATTTTACACTTATTCTTTTGAAAACTTGTTATTTAATGAGAGAGAAATTGGCCAACAATGATTACTAAATCATTGTTTAAGTCATTTGTCTTTCGTCTGTACTTCCATACCTTTTACAGATTAAGTTAACACAATAAAATACACAAACACTGTATGTTTAAAAATGATATATTATCATTATACTTAACGTCTTTTTCTTGGAGAAATCAATAAATATCATTAACTAAACTATCTTAGGTATAGTTGTGTCATATAAATGTTGTTATGCTTTTTCTGTTTCTGAATATAATCATGCTTTTATGTGTTGTGTACTTATCCAAAAAATACTCCTTTATGTTACAAGCGAAACTGGCTTAATTTAAAAAATGAATGATAAGTCCGAAAATGATATTTTTGTTTGCATTATAGCGATAAGTTTTTATTTTTTTCTCCTTTGCTAAAAGTTACAAAATTGAAAGCTGAATAGGAAAATAGCTTTCAGAAACCTTTTTGCCTTATAACCAGTAGCAATTCTCCAAAAATATTTTATATAAGATCCGGAAAAATGTACAGATATTTTCTTTATCACACTCTGTATACCTTGAAGAAAGATTTTTTGTGCTTAATGTGTAAATACTTAATATTTGTACACATGCATATTATATATATGTATATTATATGTGTATGTGAGTGCGTGTGTGTGTGCGTGCGTGAGTAAATACATGCTTTTGATGTTCTGTTTAATAATGTTTTGCGACATGATGGATCTTTACATGTAAACTCAACAATATGTTTTTGTCTCTTAAACTTTTTATATAAGATCATTTACTGT